AGAATTCAAACTCTCTGCCATACTGGTAAACATTATAACTGCTTTGCTGTATACAATATATAGATATGGTTTGGCACCTCAAGATGGCGTAATGGTTAAGCAAGCTTATCTCACTAGAACAATTATGACTGAGTGGTCAGTTCGATCCTCACTGGGTGCCACATACTTTCAGCCTTATGCCACATCTAAGCTGTGCTTAGAAAATCATTTAGGCACCTCGAGGTGGTGCAATGTTTAGCAAGCTTGTCTCACTAGAACAATTACAACTGAGTAGTGAGTTCTATCCTCACTGGGTGCTCCTTAATTTCGGCCTTGTGCCACATCTAAGCTATGCTTGGAAAATCACAATATGGTTTAAAATTTGCATGGCAACAGAGCATTTATAGATAGGGTAGACATAGGAATCAATACAGCTGGTGACTTACTTTCACACATTAGTGCAGTCTTCAGACCAAGATCATATCGAAACATGAAACTAACAATTGTCATCAATGTTGATTCCTGTCTACAGTCTCTCTTTCTCTCTATGTGTGTGTTTCATTAAATATGACAGACAAGGGATATCTTTTTTTTTATATATATAGTTGTTATAAATTTACTTTTATACTAATTTTGACTGTTATAAATTTACTTTTATACTAATTTTGACTGTTATAAATTTACTTTTATACTAATTTTGACTGTTATAAATTTACTTTTTACTAATTTTGACTGTTATAAATTTACTTTTATAAATTTTGACTTTTTATACTAATTTTGACTGTTTTATAAATTTTGACTTTTTTATACTAATTTTGACTGTTATAAATTTACTTTTATAATTTTGATTTTGACTGTTATAAATTTTGACTTTTATAAAATTTTTTACTAATTTTAACAAGTTTAAGTTTTTCTAATGTTCTTTTTCTAATGTTCTTACAGATTTTTCTTTTTAGAAGGACTCCCATATAGAGCAGAAACTCTCCATAATGGTTACTGTCCCAAGCACTTTTAACCAATTTGTTAGACATTTTCAAGGGGTCTGTTAATGTTTTTCAATGAAAGTGGCCAATAAGTTGGCTGAAAGTGCTTGTGACAATAACCATTATGGAGAGTTTCTTCACTCCCATAATCCACCCAAAAAGTAAAAAACTGTATGAACATTATAAAAACTTAAAAAACTAATAAGATTTTTCTTGTCGGTCACATTCAATGAAACATATTTAAAATAAAGTTTGCTACACAAATATTGTACGTGTGTGTGTGTATATATATATAATACATCAAAGTTTATTATTTTTCTTACCCATTTATTTGTAAGGCTAGCTCAATCTGCTGTTTAACCAGAAAAGGTAAGAGAGGCTTATAATCTTATTTTAATTTCTATTTAATGCAAATTTATAGGTTGCATGAAGGAAGCTACTATTGGACAGCTAGTTAAATAATTTCCTGAAATTAATTTTTGGAGCAAAAAAATGATTGTGTTATAAAGAGGTGAAAATATAATTTCAAATATTGTTATAACAGTCAAAATTAGTATAAGAGTAAATTTATAAAAACTGTATAAAAAAATTCTTAGAACCCAGGGGAAAACTCTGCAGCCAGATCAAGTTCACTCAATACAAGGAATATGCACCAATGAATTGACTATGTTCCAATCAAACAACCTTTAATCTGAGAAATGTATCAACCTGCAAAATTGGAGGACTGAGTGGCTGATATAGTAAAGGTGGTATCATCTCCATTATTATATACAGAGGATGCTACTTTTACAGCCATTAGACCTGACTTCATAAATACTACCACTAAAAGTTTCTGACCGAAGGTGTGAGAGAACTTTTAGCAGTAGTAAAATGTATAATTCTTTTTCTTAGTAATTAATAAAAAGGTAACCCCAGCATTTCAACGACTGAAAAGCAGAAGTGGTTATGTAAAAACTTTAAGCGGGATAACCTGTTTTACTCTGATTGGAAATATTTGGATAATGGACAGAGGCAATTTATAATGATTTTAAACAGTCCTTTCTAGTAAGATATAAAATAAAAACTTTGAGAAGATTTAATACAAGAGATGACAGAGTTTTTGGCAGACAAAAAAAAAAAAAAAGATATGGAGAGAGAGACAGACAATTTCTACTTGTCAGCTGGCATTTCATGATATGCAGAATCTTTGCATTTTACAAGACAATACTTGTACGAATTTCTGAGAAAATTTTAACCTAAAATATTTGAGTATCAATTTTTATTTATTTATTTTTTACAGACCTTTACTCCAAAGATGATTTCATGTAAGCAAGACTATGATTCCACTATATTATTATATATTAGGGTGTATTAAAATTATTTTCATTTTTACAGGTATTTACACCAAAGCTTATTTCACGTACACATCTGAAGACTACCTATGACTACTACTATTATAATTATTATTACATATTAGAGCATATCAACATCATTTTCACATTTTTCATAGACTTCAAAGTTTATCTCATACATATATAAAGACTATAACTACATTATATTATTATTATTATTTATTATCAATCCTATTCAGCTGTATCTTGTTTCAGATATAATGCCAGATAAAAGTATTCATAATTCTGGTAATTTTGAGGTCATTATTTTAAATTGAACCTCAAAGAATTCAGTAGATTGAAGGAAATTAAAATATCTTACTTGATAACCAAAACTGGTTTAAGTGTTTTAAGGGTGGTGGCATGTCCCTTGAAATAAAGCTTAACAGTCTAAAACTTATAGTCATACAATGATGCTTTAAAATAAGATTGAGAAGAACCTGACCACCCACACTCAAAACATTTCAGAAGAGCCAATATTATTGAAAAATGCTCTATGTAGAGCATTATGTATATAAGTTTATATAAGCATGCCAGAGGTTCTCATGAACTGTCAGTTGATTAAAGTACTAAAATACCATTGATACATTAATAATATATTTGAATAGTTAAAAATTACTATTCTGATTAGTCAATAAGTATTTCTGTTCATTATATTAATACTTATTTTTTACAATTTCTTATGACTGCCAATAACTAAGCTGTTGGCTAGAGAATATCTTCTCTTGTAAGGTCATGTTTTATATGTTCCACTAGAGGAGCAATGGGCATCAAAGAGTTAATGTGACAGTTATCAAAGATAAACAATCATTCCTAGAGTTAAAGGCAGATGAAACCAGTCTCATCACAATGTTTTAGCTGCTCAATTTTACAGCTTTCTTCATCTATATTGAAAGGGATGGTCTCTTTTTTTTTCCAATAGTGCAAAACCCTCTTCTCTTATATAAATAGTAAACCTGAACAATGTAGGAACAACACCCACACACAAAACTGAATCATATGAAATTCGAAAGTGTCACTGGTTAAAAGAAAGCTATGTATGTTTGTGGGTCTCTCCAACTTCTATATATGTCCTGCATAACAACAATGGACAGTCTGCTATTCAAAGGTTTAATCACCTTGCCATTACGAAAAATTTTAATTTCAGGAGTAAAGGTGATTGATTAAGAAATCAAAAATAAACTAGAAAAAAATGTTTCCTTTTAAAAATGTATACATGACTAGTTTTTAGTAACAAAAATAAATAAAAACTCAAATCTGATATTAGATAACCAAATAATTTTGTACATTTTTTTCTTTTTGTCTTAATTGCATGAATTTGTAGAATATCTATTTCTCTAATGTACATCTTTTCCTCAATCCTGTACAAGTGCAGGCAGTTTTATCACTTATAATGAACCATAATACATTTGACATATTTGAAGAGGATTAGATTTAATCAGATGGTCATCAATATTTTCTCTAAATGCTTTTCATCTTTGACAGACTCCACTTGAAATTCATGTGAATGAATAGAAGAGTGACTAATTTGACCATCATTAATTATTGTATATATTGGATGAGATGCTACTTTTATCCAAAGTTGAAATTCATACAAGCTCTAACAATGAACAAAAGAGGCTACTATGTTGATCTGATCTAAATCGTAATTACACTAAGTTCAATTTTCTGAAGATTATTAGGTAGAACATCAGATATTGCTGAAAATTTTTAGTCATTCAAAATGTTCCTTTTTGGAATGGGATATAGGGTGTCGTGTGTGTGAAGATGAGACAAACCAACACCACCAAACGACTAATATAGATAAAACAAACAAACAAGCACCCTCTTTAGTCTAGACATTGGAAGTAATAACGTAATCTAATTTAATTTATGGTCACCACTTATATCAAGGCACTTTTCCTCATGCAATTTTGTCTTCATTTCATTCTAACCTGAGGAAGACAAAGAGAGCAGATGGTCTTGGCAAAATGCGTTAATAAATTTTCAACTTTGTTTCATCTTCACCATATATATATATATATATATATATATATATACAAAGTTTTGTTGTCTTCTCATGAAGATTGGCAATTTTCATACTTTCCATTTTGTGAAATAACTGTAAACAGTGTGTGTGTGTCTGTGTGTATATATATATATATATATATATATATATATATATATAAATAAAAGCATGTATATGTATCTATTCTTGTAGTTAAAGCAAAGAGATTTTTCCATGTTTTATATTGATTTGTTTTTGTAGGATATTTAAAGAACAAAAAATATTTTTAGATTCTAAGAATTATTTTGGGGGGAGGAGATAATTTAGTGATACAAGTCTTAACTAATTAACCCATAGCTGGGGGACAAAAGGTTGATTCATACTTTTCCCAATGGTATTTGCGTATAAGTAAATATAACAAACCTAACTGAAATTGGAACTTGGCTCTCTGAATAATCATTCAGAGCCATTATCATTACACTACCTGCACATACAATCTTACAACACCTGATATTCCCAACCACTCACCCATCTAGATACCACCGAGCTTGACATTGCTTAACTTCAATGGTCATACAAGAACCAGTGTTTCAACGCTATATGTTCATAAGCCCATGTTATGTATGAATCCTATGGTTCAATCTAGAAAGGAAGCAGTTAAGCTTTTTAAGTCAAAGCTCTCTAAAGAGAGAGAGAAGAAAAGGGGGAGGGGGCTAAATATGAAGATTGCAGATATTAGAAATTAACTTTCATCCAACAGAAAACTGGTATTTGGAGGGTGAGATTTCCAAAGTGGTTTATTTTGTTCCTTGAGATCTTTGATAGAGAAATGTAAAAGGTACGTCTATATTCACTATGGAGGAGATGACAAATCTGACCCAATGATCAAACCTGGGTTTCCATTTTTAGAATGGAAAGGATAAATAATGAGATTAAAGAAACTTAAATTAAAACAAAGATCAAAAGAAAAATACTTATATAATATTTGCTGACAGAGCAAACATTTCTAGCCATCTCTAGAAATTAAGTGGAAATCTAATGAGCTATTCACGTCCTAATATTCAAACCACACTTAACTATATTTTAGATTTGTAAACCTGATTCAGGAGGAAAGACATTTGGAAAGCATTAAGTGAAAATATAGTTGCTTTAAGAAATATATTAAATATTTTGAAGCTAATAGTTTCTGAATTTTTTCCTTTTTTTCTGTATATTTTGTAAAATAGAGTTGAGATTTTAGATTAATATACATATTAAAGAAAATATATTGAGTTTAGAAAACTATTTGTTGTATTCATATACAAATTGCCACCTTATAAATAGCAGTTGATACAGCTGGAAGCTAAACTAATCCTAACCTTGAAGATGAAACTACTAGAGAAATAATAGTGAATACTTCTAACTTATTATAGTTTATAACATTTTATTCATTACTATTTATCTAGTAGCTTTGTCTTCAAGGTGAGGATTAGTTTAGCCTCCAGCTGTATCAACTGCTATTTATAAGGAGTAGATTTGCATATGAATACGACATAACTTTTGTCATTATTTCTATGATTTTTTTTCCTCTCTTAAAAGAAAGGAAAAGAAAAAAAAAGTGTAATTCCAACATCTCTGAAGACTACATTTCTTTTTCTCCTAAACACAGAAAAATTCCTCGTTTTGCACTTTTTAATAGTTTATTAATTTATTTTTATGTGATGAGGAAAGTGCAGGTTTCTTTTAAAGAAAAAAAAAAATCAAAAAATATCTAAGGAACTATAAACAACGTGCTGAATTTGGGGAGGAAAAAATATATGGATTAATTTATCCTCCCACTCAAAATTTTTCATTGAAGAAACAGAAAATAGTCTAACATTTTGAAACAAAGTTCTTTGTTTACTGGAACTATCTCCCAGTTTTTCAAAAACCAATGTGAAAATTTTGGCAGAAATAAACAAATACAGGGAACAATAACAAAAAAGAAAAGTTCCAATTACGTAACATTTGCTGAAGATGAAGCCATTGTCTTTAGCTGTGCATGTGTGCAGAAAATACTTGTTTTGATTATTGCGAAGGATAGACAGAGCTGGAAAAAAAAAGTCTATGTTGATATTATTTTTCTCTTACAATCCAATACTGGACTGGTCAGGTCAAGTCTATATTCAGTGTTTATCTTTTCCCAGTTTGTCCATTGAAAAATAAAATTTCACAAGCATCATTATCAGTAAAGAGTTCCTCTCACTTCCACATTGTCTTCATTCTTTACATTTCAATTAACATTAATTGTCATCAAGTGAGATACAGCAGGTAGGTTTAATTACCCAAGTCGATTTCTATCCGGCAAAAACGGAAACATTTACTTAGCAATACGATGCTGTTTTTTTTTTTATTATTATGACTTTTGATCATCAATTGAATGTAATAATTTTCCAATATAAAAATCTTTTGAATTTTTCATAAGTAGAATTTTGATAGGTAAAAACATTACCTGTATGTCATCGGGAAATGCGTGGAAAGCATGCAGATCAAAATAGCCTGAAAGCAACAAAGTATCTACAAAGCTGAGGACAATAGCCCAAATATTTTTTTAAAGGCCCAATGATGTCATAATCACATTTTCTTTTGAGATTTTTTGGATTATGAAGACTCTACCATCTGGCTACTTTCAGAGAGCTCTCCATTATTCCTTTCGAGCGGCATCAATCTGTTGCTGCACCTTAAAGAGGGAAGAAGAAGGATTATCAGATGATGTCCTGATACCTGTCATTCTACTAATTCGAGAAGAAGATGAAGAAGAAACAGATGATAAAGAATTTGAGCCTAGTGAGATGTCAGAAGTGGAATCAGTACTTGAGGACGAAGAATGGCAGGTCTTGTTTGGGTGCCACGTGACACGATTCTCATCTTTGGTCCTTGGTCTGCTTGACAGGTGAGATGATGAAGATGAAGACGTGGATGAGGAATTGGACAATGAAGAGAATTTACCAATCATGCGATTAACAGCCTGAATTGCATTTCCATTTTTCTAAAGCAAAAAAAGAAGAAAAAAACAAAAAAGAAAAACCATGCAAGAAGCCACACAATGAAAAAATCAAAAAAAAAAAAAATCTTTAAATACAGAATTGTTCTAGGAAATTTTAAAATCAAGTTTGGCCCCTTTTTCCAATCAATTGTCATCACCCCCCCCCCAAAAAAAGATGACACTGTCAACTCACATGAAGATGACCATATTTTATTGTTTTTAATTCATTTTACAGGATTTGGTAAATATTTCAAGATCTTTTTTTTAGTTGTCAAGTGTATCTCTTAATAGGTTTTATTGCCAATAACATGACAAAGTTTTAGAGAAAATGCAAACAAAAATGATATTTACACTTAACATCAAAAAGAGACAGCTGAAATTTCTAGGGCACATAATGCGGAAAGAGGGCTTAGAAATTTTGATATTCATAGGACAGAGGAAGCAATGCATAACCTGGGCTTGAGTAAATAGATGGCAGAACAGAGAGATAACAAAAAGACAAAATTTATTAAGACAAGAAATTGTGGAGAGCCATGATCGCCCATGTCCTGAAGGGACATGGCACATAGAAAAAGCAATTTTTCATGGTATGTGTCTGTATTTATAACTACTATACTTCCACCTTTGTCAGATGGTGAGAGGATATGGTTAGGGTCACCCTATATAGAATATCACCCCCGCTATATGGTTGATCAAAAACACATAAAATAAATATTCCAATGTCACCAATAGTCTTTAAAATTTGTAGCACAACCCACAATAAGAAAGAAAGAAAAGAAAGAAAAAAGAAGAAAGAAGAAGAAAGAAAAGAAAGAAAAAAGAAGAAAGAAGAAGAAAGAAGAAAGAAGAAGAAAGGAGAAAGAAGAAGAAAGGAGAAAGAAGAAGAAAGGAGAAAGAAGAAGAAAGGAGAAAGAAGAAGAAAGGAGAAAGAAGAAGAAAGGAGAAAGAAAAAGAAAGGAGAAAGAAAAAGAAAGGAGAAAGAAAAAGAAAGGAGAAAGAAAAAGAAAGGAGAAAGAAAAAGAAAGGAGAAAGAAAAAGAAAGGAGAAAGAAAAAAAGAAAGAAAAGAAAGAAAAGAAAGGAGAAAGAAAAAAGAAAAAAAGAAAAGAAAGAAAAGAAAAAGGAGAAAGGAGAAAGAAAGACAGCAGAAAGAAAGAAAGACAGCAGAAAGAAAGAAAGACAGCAGAAAGAAAGAAAGACAGACAGAAAGACAGACAGAAAGAAAGACAGACAGAAAGAAAGACAGACAGAAAGACAGACAGACAGAAAGACAGACAGACAGAAAGACAGACAGACAGACAGACAGAAAGACAGAAAGAAAGACAGACAGACAGACAGACAGACAGACAGAAAGACAGACAGACAGAAAGACAGACAGACAGAAAGACAGACAGACAGAAAGACAGACAGAAAGAAAGACAGAAAGACAGAAAGACAGACAGAAAGAAAGACAGACAGAAAGAAAGACAGACAGACAGACAGAAAGACAGAAAGAAGAAAGAAAGACAGATTATGTGCTAATTTATGTTATTTCAAATTTAACAATATTAATATTGTTAAATATTTATTGACTCCAGGCCTATTCTAAGGAAAATGATACATTACTCCTTTTTATACAATAGAAAAATATCTAACATTACTATCATTTAATATATATATATATATATATATATATATATACAACCATAACCATGCACTAAACCTAAGCGTTAACAAGGAGAAATATTTTCCTGCACAGATGAACCATTTTATCAATTGCTCTTTAAAAATATTAATGCACTTTCTATTCTTATAAAACATGCAAAAATATTCATTAGAGACATGAAAACATTAAACAATATCCCAAACATTTTTGTTACCTTTAATGAATGAAATTGTTAAACTATACAACAGTGTATTCAAATCAAACATTGTATAACAGCACAGAGGTTAACAGGGTTTTCATGGCATACAAACTCTGTATAGGTCTCTCAGCATTTAAAATTTACAGGCAACTTTAAAATTAATATAAAGTTCACATCAAGGAAAAACAGAAAATACTTGGAAATTTGTTTTTTTTGGGTTTTTTTTTTTCATGTTTTGATTCAGAAATTATACATTTTTGAGTGAAAATTCAATGAATTGATTAACATAGCACAAATGGCATTGCATTTCAACCTTAAAAAGTTTGAAAATCTATTACTAAATTGTAATTTCTTCAAAATTCAACTAAGAATTGAACATAAAATGACTTTCAATCATTTTATGGTCAATTCTAAGTTGAATACTTTTCAACAACCAAAGAGATCTTGAAATTTTCTACATATTTAAGGACAAAGTTGGTGAATTTTGATTCTATCTGACAAAAAAATTTCCTAGAAAAATTAAAAAAACAAAAAATAACAATTGTTAATGATGAACAAAAAATTAAAAAAATAATAGCAAATAAATATTTCATAAAGTAAATAATATTTTAAGTTTTTCAAGGTTTAAAGAAATTAGCAAAATGTTTCTACTTTACAGAAATCTTTCGTCATCCTTGATTAAAAAAAAAAAAAAAAATAATAATTTTGTGCCAAACTAAATAATTATTTCCTTTGGAACATATTAACTTATGAAACCAGACCTTGAAAATTTTAAAACTACCGAAATTTCCACTATTTACATTATTTGGATTTTTGTCTTCATCTTTATTGTCATATTCACAACATTTTGGTCATTGTATGCTCTGGCATTCTTCTACTTTGGAATTTGAAACCAAGCCCTTCATTTTGTCCACTGGGATAGATTCCATATGCCATGCCTTTTCTGGATACCTCAGTTTCAGTTACTTCCCTTTAGTAACGCAACACTCCAAGTTTTTGTTCACTTCTGCTGTGGCCAGGTATTGAACTCACAACTCTTTTGGGTCAAGTCACTGGATTACTTCAACCATGTCTTTTATCCACTGATCCATGTGTCTACCCCAATGGACAAAATAAAGGGTTTGGTTCTAAATTCCAACATATATCACTTGAAGAAAGCCAGAGCATACAATGGCCGAAACGTCGTGAATACAACAATAAAGATGAAGGCAACAATGTAAATAGTGGACATAGTTACAATACCTCATCTCAGAAATATAGACAGATACCAAATTTTTTTTTTTTTTTTTTTAAATATTTTTAGATTTATAAAATATAACACATGAACATTACTATATGAAACACTTTTCTCCAGAAATATTGTAATTTAATAAATTTGTAATAAAATGAAACTTGTTTCTAACTGGGCCAAATAAGACACGAGTGAAGAAATCTCAAATTGTTTTTTTCTTTCTTAACCAGTTGAATATAAAGGGTGTTCCAATAACTTGGGCCGATTTTAGTGTGAATTAAGTTTAAGCATCTGATTTTTTTTTCTTTTAGATTTGGCAGACATTTGGGCAATATTATTTTTCATACATGATTGCCTTAAGTAACATGATCCAATAGAGAAATAAATAAATTTTCATCAATAACACTGATTTATTTACTGCTCACTTTGATCCATCTTAATGAAACACCCTTTATTACTACAAAGTAGAATAATACTCTACATTTGAGCAACTTTGTACTAGCCATTTGCTGCTCTTCAGTGGTGATTTTCCCTGTTACACAGGCAGATTTTAGGGTTTACTGGGTTAATATTCCCTGTTGAACTTTTGGGGGGGGGTATTCTCATATGCCATCAAAGACTGTAAAAAAATCATATTGTATTATTATCTAGCCATTACTAGTTTTATTTATTTTTGTTTTTATTACACATATATTGATAAACAACATTCTTCCCTCATCTGTCAAGTATAGTGGTAAGAGAATATGCCTATTAAGTTGAACCATAAATAATTTCCGTTTTTGTTAATCAACTTTGTTTTTTAAAAAAAAAAAAAGTACAATTCCATTCTCAATTATATATTCATCATTATTTAAAAATGCCTTATCGACAATTATCAATCAGCTCTTCAATACCTTTTGAATAAAATTCCACAGCTTTGATATGGAAAAATTTTCAATGATTAGAGAAAGCTTTCTCCATCAAAGCATTTTGAACCAGTTGAAAAAAGGTAAGCTGTATACAGCTTTGCATCATCAGAGAAAACAGCAATTTGCCATTAATTCACTGTGGGCATGTTGTCAGTGCTGTGTGAAAACTAAGGCTTGTTAGTGTATTCCAAATTTACTAACTACCACATATGATTAATGATTTGGACAATACATTTGTCATTACAATTGATTCTCAAAAATGTGAATTACTTATGACTCAATCCAATAATCTGAACATAAAATTTCAACATTTTACTTTTGCCATTTAAAATTCAGATATTACTAACAACATGCACAAAGATAATCATTTTTGTTTTTAATTATTTTGTAGTTGAATTAATTTTTAGTTGCCCTGATATTCTGTACAGATGTCTTTTTTTCTTTGTTACAAATCAAAGGCTTGTTTTATACATAACTGGTGGACACTGAGGTCAACACCAAGTGGTGACACTGTTTCATGCTTGGATACAATCTTCAGATCATGTGTGTTGCATGGTGGATCAGTGGTGCATATGGTAGCCTGATTATTACATTTATATATATATATATATATATATATATATATATATATATATATATATATATATATATATATATATATATATACATGAGAGAAAGAAACATATTAGTTGTCACCACATAACACACATGGCTCTGAAGATTGTGTTCAAGCATGAAACACTGTCACCATATATATATATATATATATATATATAAAATATATATAAAAGTATATTCTTATATTGCTATTTCTTAAACTTTTAACACTTTAATTATATCCTTTATAACATTATCAAAAGAAATTAATCTTATCGGATATAATTCCTACCAAGAAAGTAAAAATCTATACTAAATAGACAAAAGACAAAGAGTAAATATAAGCATTAATTTAAAAAAAAAACCCAATCTTGAAAATTCACTTTAAAAATATTGAATAGCAAATCAATTGATCATTCAAGTAAGCCATGCCCAGAAAATGAACAAAGAACAAAACTAATGCAATTTGACAATTGTTTGAATTTTTGCTGTAAAATATCAGAAGACAATATTGTGGATTTAGCATGCAACATTAAAGCAAAGGTTTTAAAAAATTAAAAGAGAATTGTCATTGTCATTCATTTTTAACTTGTATTTCTTTCTCATCTTAATTTCAATTTTTATGACAACTTCCCTAGTTTAGGTTAGCAGCACTGATCAAAAATAAAAAAAAAAAAAACTTTTAGCAAGATTTGAACTCTGGTCCCTTATTCTGGGAAGCCAAACTTAGCTTGATAAGCCCTTATGATAAGAGAGCCTCTCAAGGACAAGGGATGCAAGTTAAAATAGTGCTAGAAGATTATACCTTATTTTCAATCTGTTAGTCAAAGAACAATTAAGGAATTTTGATAAAAAAAAAAAAAAAAAACATAGAAATAAGATGCAAGAAATACCAGTTCAATTAATTAATAATTCATGTAAAAAATTCAAAACACTTAAAATGGGAATTGATTCCTTATAGTAAATAGCATGCATGAATTTCAGGATAGTAGCAAAAGAGATTTTGATCAGAAAGAGAAGGGGGAAATAAAACAGAATTATCATGCATTAAAATGAAGCCAAATGATGGGTGGGGGAAATCTTCCTTTATCCTAACTGTTCATAGCTTAATTGGAATATATATATATATATATATATATATAAACTGGAGATTATAAAATTTCAACAGTATCATCAGAAAAAGGAAACAATCTAAAATTTGAAAATTAGCAATCAGTCTTCTAAAAGTTTGAATTTCAAGAGAATATATTTAAAAGGAAACTAAAAAATAAAGACCGGGGGGGGGGAATTATCCTGGGGTAAATGTTTATTTTTTATTCAGTAAAATTCTTGCCAATAGTAACTGCCCTTGCTGCAACTCATCCCACCAGAAATAACCTGTATGACTACAAAACGAACAAAATGTGCCTTCAGTAAAAAGAAGCCAAGCCTTTTAATCCCTTGGGATGTAAAAGTCATTAGGCAATTAGGAGAATTTGCATACACTGGAACCTTTTTTGTGTATGGATCTCAAAGAAAAAAAATACGAGAATAAAACAGTGCATATGCTTTTCATGAGTTTCCTTCACTACATTTCCAAACCGCTTATTTGAAATTAAGTTTTAATTCACTGTATTGTCAATCATTAGACAGTTATATATATTATAATAAAAAGAAAGAACAGTAAGATTTATAATCTGGTGTTCTTATTGATATTTTTATTTTTTGCTCAATGTAAATTTACAGAGCATAAATATTATAAATTAACTGATTTAAAATATGGTTTCTTCGCTACACAGAAATTACCATGTTTCAAAAACCGAAGTTAATTCATCTTCAAGCAAGTGCATTTAAAAATTAGTAAATTTAAAAATAAGTTATTCCAAAATTTGCTTGAAGATCAAACAGAACTAATGCTTTTAAATTTAATTATATAATTAAATTTGAAGTTTTTAGCTTTGGTTTTTAAAACATGGTAATTCCTGTGTAGCGAAGAAACCATATTTTAAAACAGTTAATTTATAATAATGACAGTTATATAAACCTTTATATAAATACCTTTCATCAAGAAGGAATTAAGTGATGATAATTACCATAATTATTAAAATGGTGGCAATATCAACACTGAAGTTTCAGAAGTATTCAATTTATATTTTGGAGAAAGATAAATATGCTTATGTTTAATTATCAAATAGTGTCAGTATATGAATTCCAATATTTCTACCATAATAAAAAGGACAAAATATATTAATGGGTAATATTTTAAATAGTAATAATTTAAAAACTTTTTTAAAGATTACTCATAAAAGAAAATTAAAAAAATATCTTATTTCATATATAAATTTTCATTTCAGAAATAATATCCATGTAGGAAGAAAAAAAAAAGAAAAAAACTTCCATTTCTTTGGTTAAACAAAATGTTTTTAAATTTTCTTAAAAGCGAATACAACTATATTTTTGGGGTTATTTTTTATATATGCCTGTCCACAAGTGTACCAGTTTATATCTTAGTTCAGCTGTATCAAGTAGACATCTAAAAAATCAATATTAAAGTAAATACTATCAAGATATTTTTAATCCTTTTAAAGTCTGGTTTCAGAAAATGAGTGGTGACAACTTGAATAAGTGCAATTAATATATTTTTTTTATTTGATATATTTTCTAATTGAATTTATTTTTCATTGCAATTTTAAAGTCAATAATTTAACAATTATATATATATATATATATATATATATATATATATATATATATATATATATAACCAATTTGTGACTGGAAGGATAATTCCAAAGAGCATTTTGATTCAGAGAGAGCTCAATGTAATCTACAGAACATTATAATAAGAAAACCTTAAAGATCCATTTTGGATATATTTTGTGAATATTTCTATATATTTATCTCTTCTGACTGAAAGTTCTTAATATATATAAGAAATAGAAATAAAGTTGGATTTATAGTTCTTTTAGTGTTAGAAGGTAATTATTATATGAATAAAAATCAGTTGTGGCTATAGTGTTTTAATCTTTCATCATATTGGCAATATTGTTTTGCACTGACATCGGGATGGAGATCATCATGTTGATCTGCCATATGTAAAAAGTATCACTCATATTTGTCTCTCATGATTATTTTTATTTATTTCCTAACAATAAAAATCAAATAAAACAATGTGATTTTCGTAGAGGGTTTATTTTACATAGTATCACATGAGATGTGCCATTTTAACAGCAGGCAAGTTTTACTTTTTTGAAAGATTTGACACTTTTCATCTTTGAGTAAAGAAATCTAAATTACAGAATTTTATTTGTACCAATTTCCGTGATATAATATCCTTTGAATTCATCAGATCAAGTATTATTAGTTATCAATTTTTGACTAATGACAAAAAAAAAAAAAAAAAAAAAAAAAAAAAAAAAGAAACAAAAAAAAAAAACATGGCAAAATAACTTATTTCTTGTATTATCAATAAAATCAAAATTATGTGATCACTCTTAAGTTTCTTTAACTTGCATTTAATGATTTTTAAAAAAGGTGCAAGCACACATGGATGTACATTAATTAGAATGTGAAAGTGCCAGCACCAGTGCATATTTCCTACTTTTTTTCTTAAACAATTTAATAAAAATAATCCCATAAAAGGAAACTGTTTTCAAAGCCATTTTAATCAAAGACCAATGCGCATTTTTTGCACTTGCAAATACAAAAAAAAAAGAAAGAAAAAAAGCCCAAGAAGAGGAAAAAAAAAGAAATACTTGCCCACATATTTTTTGGTTTTGAAATTAGAAGCAAAAACCCACAAGGAAAGAGAAAGCATTTTTTTTTTAAATAAACCTCATCCCCACAAAAAATTTGACCCAGGAGTATAAGTTATATTTCCCACTATTGCATTAGACTGAGATTGATATTGTAAAGTTCACAAGGCAACTCTCTTTACTGTGTTCAAAGGTCTTGTTTATGGTATGCCATGATGATAGAGAGAAGACTAGATGAGTGAGAATATAGGCAAGTTGTTTGACTATAACTATTTTACCACCTTTGCAGCAATAGATGTGTAAAAAAAAAAAAAAAAAAATAAATAAATAGTACAGATAGACCAAAAATAGATGATAATAGTTATGAAATAGTATTCTATTTGATAGCATATAAAAAGTCCTTTTTACATTTAATATCATGGATTTATGTTAGATACAGGTGATGGTAGTCTATAATATCTTTGTAAACAGTCTACCAGTTAGCTAAGCATACAACATATTATGTGAGTCAATTTTGAAGGGTGGAAAAGGGGAGTGTTTTATCATTCATCAGATTCTGAAGTAGATACACAGTAAGTAGAGTGCCTGAATGTGGGATATTGAGGGTGGAGCAGATAAAAGACTTGATTTTAACAAACAAGCTGATGAGTGAATAGATGAGAGCAAGGTCTGTGCAAGCTGAAGGCGGCAGCAGCAGCAGCAAGTAGAGGAGGTGATAGTGAATGCAGCCAAGAGAGTGACCTCGACCATTAATACCTTCCATGGAACCTGTCCATTGCTGTGAGGGGTCTGCACTTTGTGGTGATGAGAATGATGCTGGTAATCAGGCCCCCCATTCACAAATGCCTTTCCTGAAGGCCTCCCTCCATTTGATTGGAGAGAGGGTGGAGGAGCGGGTACCTTTTGTAAACGAGGCAGACAATTGATGTATGAATAAAATAAAACATTGATATTATTTTTCTTAATGAGGGAGATGAATATAGAAAAGAATGAATTTAATGGAATGGAATGATTTATGTTGGAATCGTGACTAGAACCAAATCATAAACGGTCATTATACGCAATTGGTTAAGAAACAAATTCATTGATGATGCATATGTGAACAAATTTTTATTCTTGAGTTATGAATGGATGTTGACAATGATTGAAAGATTTCAAGGAGGAATCATCTATAAAGTGGATTCCATAGAAAAACTAATTAGTAGGACCAATTGAATGACAACACTAATGTTTTGTCCTTCAAAAAGAACAAAATGCATTACATAGTCATTCAATTACCTGGCAGTAGTTGGATATATATATATATATATATATATATATATATATATTACTCCCAGGACCAATTGTGCAAAAACAGGAATGAGCATTCAATATTTTTGTTCTTTTCATAAAAATCCATTTAAAAGGAATGATGGCTTTTAAGGATCAAAATATATCTCCCTATAGTAGATTTTGCTTAAATGGAACATATTGTTCCACTTAAGCAGAATCTACTATAGGGAAATATATTTTCCAAATTGTCTGATAGTGTTTGCCACTTCTAAACAGAAGACAATATCTTCAATACTGGAGATATATATAAGATAGATAAATCAAACAGCTAGGTATAAGCAAGGGTATATATGCGTGCTAATGTGCATACACTGTCAAGCAAATAAATAATCATCCAATTTATACATGGTGTGTAAATAGTGCTCAATGTGGTTATAAACAGCAAAGATATATATTAATTAGTTCATATACGTGTAATTCAGTGAAACTTTAGTCACACCAAAATGTAGGTACACGTATATGTATATATATATATATATATATATATTTATATATACATACATATTTATATAGACACATAGAAATAAATTATTAAATTACAATGGTATGAATTAATAAGCAGTCACAACTCAAAAGCTTAAAGAGTTACAATGTTTACATTTATCAACAAAGAAAAAATAAAGACATGATTGTACAAATAATTTATGACTTTCTTTTACCTGTTGAAATAAAATCTTCACATTAATTTTTACATGTACATCATATTGAAAAGAAAAAGTAACCAATATGGAAGGCTTTCTCTTCAATTTTTAATTTAAAAGAAATATTTTAAAGCTTACTGAAAACAAAAACAAAAAAAACAAAAAGATAAGGCTTCTCACACAAAAAAATAATAAAAGTGGTTAATGTCTAAAAATCAGGCAGAGCAATCTAAGACTGACTTATAAATGAATAAAAAACTACTCTTAGCAAGTAAGTATACTTTTGCCTTCTGGCATTGAGTGCTATTGAAGCTTCTGAACAGCTGGAATATAAAAGTGTACTTGTTAAGAGTTGCTGCATTTTTCATTTTTAATTCAATCTTGTATGTATATATATATATATATATATATATATATATATATATATATACATACACACACCAATGAAAAAGTTTAATTTATAAATAACATAAAATAAGAGAGTAAAAAAGCAAACAAAAAACTTCTAACAATAGATCAAATACAATATTTTTCTCCCATTTTTTAGCCATTAACTGCAGATGGCAGTAATTACAATTTTGGTACTTCTGTGGCTCAATCTTGAATACAGAAATTTCTGCCATAGTCAATAGGTCAAGAACTTTAACCTTTTCATATAAAGAAAACACTTTACAGTTACTCTTTTATTTACCCCAATTGCTAGCATCATTAATAATGTATTTGGAAAGCATTATAAGTAAGAACTTGTAAATTATTTCTGTAGATGAATGCTGGTAAATGTAAGCCTGGATAAGGAAAATGGGGGCTGCCCTGAGAATCTAATTTCAGCCATATTCCCATATATAGAAAATTTAGAATCAACTTTCTTACACAGGTTATTACCAATGTCTGCTACACAGTATTAGAAATGAACAGGGCTAATCAAAATTTCTTTTCCATTACTATTTTTCTGGGAAAATGAAAGACATCACTTTTCCCTTATGAGATCTGATTACTGGAGATTCATCTCTTAGACAACACATTCCCTATTGTACTAACAAAGTAGAGTCAATTGTGAAGCCTAGATCTCTGGTAAAATAATACTGAACCAACTCAAACAAATGTGTATAGGTTTTCACATGTAAAAAAGTGGGGTCTGCATAGGAAAACAAATATCATTAAGCTTCTCCTTCCTTACTTTTTACACCTGAAGTTATAGAATGGATCAGCTAAAAATGTGTTAGAAACAAAATGAAGGTTTTCAATTGACAAATAACCTTGGAACTGACAAATTAGTATCCTGTTTATGTAATAGGTTGTTTTTTTTTTTATGGTATATGAAGCTTTATGCATTATTTAATATTGAAATCTAAATATTTCATGCACATTTTTTTTTAGATAATGATTTAGTGATAGAGGTCTTACTAATTAACCCACAGCTAGGGGGAGAAGAGATGGATTCATGCCTTTCCCAAGGATATTTGCATATAAGTGAATATAACCAATTAACAATTTTGAGCCATTATCTATTACGCCACCCACTCATCCAAGCTTACATCATCTGGTATTCCCTAGCAGTTAACCATCTAGGTACTGATCAGTTTTGATGTTGCTTAACTTTAGTGATCATACAGGAAACAATGTTTCAACATAATGTAGGCATAAAACCATATGCAATAGGATTAGTCTCTTAGTGATAGGAGTAAGTCATAAATAGTGTCAAAATTTGGAGTCAGCTAAAAATTTTATTTATAAATATATCGATGTCAAAGATAGTATAATGCAAAAATGATGACAGTCAATGCGTTAATGAGAAAAAAGACATTTAAGGCAAGTAGTCTTGGCCATAAAGTGCTCAATATCAAAAGGCACAAATGTACACATGAACACAAAAAACAGAAAACTTACACTAATGTTAAATGTATAAAAAGGAAAAAATAAAGGCAGTAAATTGCTGATACCCCATGAAGAGTGGGCAGACAGGTCTGCCTATGAAACTCTGGAGTCGGGATCCTGAAGGTAACATCAACTAGCTATGTGACAAATTTTTACTCATATTAATCATATATATATATATATAAAATGTGAGAGTGTGTTTTTCCTTGATTATCAATGATTTGCAAAATTTTAGAATCTTGTTTTTGTAAAAGACTTTAGATTGTGAAGAAAAGAATGTTAAGAGGATAGTTTTCATCTCTTCATCTAAACTGATCTGTCAAGATGGTCCTACAAAGTCTGGTAAATAGTACAAGATTTGGAGAATTTTTTCTCCCACCAGGCCCAGGACTTCAATATTTTTGGATATGTGGATCCATGTTATATCCTGATTGAATACAACCCATTTATATGTGTTCAAAACTGGGCCTTTTTTTTTCCCTTCAAAGTTGTCTTAAAGATTTTAGCTGACCCCAAATTTATATATTTAACCTCCTTGCAATGATTCACAAAATTCATAATATTGTTTTTGTAACAGCCTTTTAGTATGAAGTCTGTTGAAATGTTTATCTTTATGAAGGTCTAGTTAGTAACTCAACTAGCACTGTGACAATGTAACTTACTTATTTAAAGCTAAAGAACATATACTAGCACATATTCTCATTTAAGCATTTTTAGAATAGCAAAAATATCAGTGAATCTATCACAATCAGATTTCAGACATTATTTAAGAACTGATTTGATAGTTTCACAATTCAAAGTAATGTACACAAAAATGATTTCTTTATTCATTGCATTAAAGTTGTTGAAAGAGAAGAAATCTTGGCATGGCAGGTACATACTGATATAAATACTTGATTACAATAGCTGTGTACTTTTAACAGCCAAAAGTAACTCACTCTCTCAGATCTACCTGCTTTGTGTTTTGGTCATCACTATTTGTAAACTTGATTTACAAAATGATTCCTAATCAAAACTAATCTGCAGAAATTAGCTTAAAATATTAGAGCAGATTTTCAGCTTTTTATCTTTATGTTTTATTAATTTTTAAGACCCTATTGTATTTTCAAGATTAACTAAAAATTTCCAGATCTATTTCTGTTAGGGCTTTGTAAATTTAGAAAAAAAAAAGAAAAAGAAGAAAAAAAAAGAAGAAAAAGAAAGAAAAAGAAGAAAAAGAAAGAAAAAAGAAAAAAAAAAAAAAAAAAGAAAAAAAAAAAGAAAAAAAAAAAAAAAAGAAGAAAAAAGAAAAAAGAAAATAAAGAAAAAGAAAAAAGAAAAAAAGAAAAAAGAAAAAAGAAAAAAAGAAAAAAGAAAAAGAAAAAAAAGAAAAAAGAAAAAAAGAAAAGAAAAAAAAACGTGCCTAAGATTATATCTATGAATATGAATTAATGTGATTTAGAAATTGTGATAGATTTTACTATTGTATATGTCTTCATAATTAAGTTTTTTCTTTATTATTATTTTTATACTTATGTTACAGATGGTAAGTCACGACTTCAATAAAATGAAAAAACGTCTAATATAAACATGAAAAAAAAACTACTTTTTAATCAACTGTTTGGTCTTTTATATGTAATATTGCTAAACTGTTTAAGCAATTTGATAATGTTTCTATCATATTACTTTCATTTTAATAGCAATCATTATCTACAATCATTTTTGATTAAGCCTTATTCTTGTGGCTGAAAGGGATAACTATTCCTGACTACTTGGTAAGGTCAGTGTTTGACTTCAGGTAAAAAAAATAAAAAAAGGTGTGTGTGTGTGTCCGGGGGATTTCAAATGCTGATTTTTTTGGCAGACAAAACCTTAATTAGAAAATTGGTGTAACACAATCTTCTTAGGTTTATTTCTTCAGCCCAGTGTAGATTTGTGATGTACGAAGCTAAGCTTAAGTCTGCTTAAATAGGCAAATCATCCAACATGCATTTTAATATATTACATATGCATTATGTATTCATTTATATAGTGACATGCATTTTTAAATGGCTGCATTATTTCTCATTAAGTTTATTTAATTAAAATCATTGCACTACTTAAAAATTTTAAATTACAATCTAAATGCTAATTGGAAGAAGCATTTTTGGAAAGTGTAAGGTTGGTGTGGCTATGAAGATAACGTACCTGCCATTTGCGTCTGGCAATGAATGTCTTCAGTTTATCAGTGCTCAATCGCTTCATGACTTGACCATCAATTGTGTCTAATGCCAACCATTCATGCTTCAAGCATTCCTGTACTGACATACGATTACTGAAAGAGAGAAATAAAATTATCAAAACCATATTTAAAAAAAATAAATAATTCTCAAGGATCTGGCAATCAACCAAACAGGGATTGGATTTTGTTCTACTTTAAAAAAGGGACAAAAGAATGTGTTAAATAAAATATTTTTACTTCATTTTCTAGTTGTGCCTGAAAGTGAAAAATCATCATCTAAATTTCTGTATTGAGTATACAATATAAAATTAGAAAAAAAGCACTAAACACAGATTATATAAATCAACAAATTTATTTTATTTGCTTTGTGGTTATAAAATGAGAAAAGCTGCCATTTTTTAAGTTGACAGGATTAATAAACAAAATAAGGATAGTTTGAAAAAAAAAAAAAATTGCACTGCATTTGAAAGCTTTATTGCTTTTAGAACACTACATCCGAGTTGGGTATATAATCAGAAGAAAAGGAAGGAAAAGCAAAGACAGAACGGAAAAAGAAAGGAAAAAATGAATAAGAAAGAAGAAAAAACAAAAGAAGAAGAAAGAAGAAGAAATGAAGAAGAAAGAAGAAGAAATGAAGAAGAAAGAAGAAGAAATGAAGAAGAAAGAAGAAATGAAGAAGAAAGAAGAAGAAATGAAGAAGAAAGAAGAAATGAAGAAAGAAGAAATGAAGAAAGAAGAAGAAAGAAAGAAGAAAAAACAAATGAAGAAGAAAGAAGAAAAAAACAAATGAAGAAGAAAGAAGAAAAAAACAAATGAAGAAGAAAGAAGAAAAAAACAAATGAAGAAGAAAGAAGAAAAAAACAAATGAAGAAGAAGAAAAAAAACAAATGAAGAAGAAAAAAAAATGAAGAAAAAAAAAGAAAAAAAAAAAGAAGAAAGAAGAAGAAAAAAAAAATGAAGAAAAAGAAGAAGAAAAAACAAATGAAGAAGAAAGAAGAAGAAAAAACAAATGAAGAAGAAAGAAGAAGAAAAAAAAAATGAAGAAGAAAGAAGAAGAAAAAAAATGAAGAAGAAAGAAGAAGAAAAAAAAATGAAGAAGAAGAAGAAGAAAAACAAATGAAGAAGAAAGAAGAAAAAAAACAAATGAAGAAGAAAGAAGAAAAAAACAAATGAAGAAGAAAAAAACAAATGAAGAAGAAAAAAACAAATGAAGAAAGAAGAAGAAATGAAGAAGAAAGAAGAAAAAACAAATGAAGAAGAAAGAAGAAAAAAACAAATGAAGAAGAAAGAAAAAAACAAATGAAGAAAAAGAAGAAAAAAACAAATGAAGAAAGAAAAAAAAACAAATGAAGAAGAAAGAAGAAAAAACAAATGAAGAAGAAAGAAGAAGAAAAAACAAATGAAGAAGAAAAAAGAAAAAACAAATGAAGAAGAAAAAGAAGAAAAAACAAATGAAGAAGAAAGAAGAAGAAAAAACAAATGAAGAAGAAAGAAGAAGAAAAAACAAATGAAGAAGAAAGAAGAAGAAAAAACAAATGAAGAAGAAAGAAGAAGAAAAAAACAAATGAAGAAGAAAGAAAAAAAAACAAATGAAGAAGAAAGAAGAAGAAAAAACAAATGAAGAAGAAAGAAGAAGAAAAAACAAATGAAGAAGAAAGAAGAAAAAACAAATGAAGAAGAAAGAAGAAAAAACAAATGAAGAAGAAAGAAGAAAAAACAAATGAAGAAGAAAGAAGAAAAAACAAATGGAGAAGAAAGAAGAAATGAAGAAGAAAGAAGAAATGAAGAAGAAAGAAGAAATGAAGAAGAAAGAAGAAATGATTGATTGAGATTTATAGCATATCAACCTCAATGTAATGCTGACAATTTTTATTGCTAGTAATATTTTTCTTCAAAAAACTATTTCCAGCATTATCCAAGAATGTATTACTGGTAACACCTTTCCAAAAACACATTGCTGGTAATATTCCTTTACAAAACTGTATTGCTGATAATATGATATTTCCTTCAAAATTGAAGGAGAAATTACATTATTATCTCTGATAACAATTTTTTCTTCAAAATTATATTGCTGGTATAACTCTTTCTTCAAAAATACATTGCTGGTAACCAAAAATGTATTGTTGGAAATAATTTTTTTCTTTTTTCAAAGTAGGTTATGAAAACAAGAAAACAGATTTAGTAAACTTTTTTTTTTTCCTTGTAGAGCCCAATTTCTTGAGTGAAATTTATAATGTTACGTGGGTGATGTGTCCATACTTTCTATGCTCTCCAACCTATTAGCATTTTGTTTCTTGTTATGTTTTGTTCTTTGAACTTCTTTTGTTTCTGCTTGTTTGTTTGTTCCTTAGTTTTTCCATTAGGTTCTTTTAATGATCTTTGTATAGATAATGACCATTCCCTTGTTTGTGATGGGCTAAAGTTTTGTTCCTCTATGTCTATATCTCTTGAATCTTCACTAAAAGTTGTTATTTTTTTTCATGTACCTTTTGATTCCCTTGAGAATGTTCAGAGTTTTCTATTTCTTGGATTTTTGTACTTTGGTTTGGAATTTTGGGATTTAATCGTTTTGTACATGTAGAGACTTTTTTGTTTGAGGTTGACGGGACAGGGTTATTTTTTTGTCTATGGGCGTCTGATTTATGAGTGATATACATTTTAGTAGTTCTATTAAACTTTTTAATTCGTTAATAAGAGTTATAAGATCTTGGCTTCTTAATGCATTGTTTTCTTGGATGTCTTTTTGTGGATTTGATATTTTAGTGATATCTGCATATGATGCTTGAAGATTCAACCTGTTTCCTGGCTTGGAATGAGATATTTTGCATGCATTTTCTTTTAATTTCCTTTTTCCAAATGTTACACTCTTTGGAGTCTGCTGGATGTTTTTCTTTACAGTTTGGACATAAAGGAGGCCTTTCACAAGGTGACTCAATTTTTGAAAATCACTTGAATTAATAGAGTATTATTTTTCTTTATTTTTTTAACAGATTGTGGTTTGATCAGGTCCGAATTAACCCTTTGCAACACGAGAGGAGACACTTTTGATATATCACCCTCTACTGATTCTCCAACAATGAAAGTTGGAATTTGATTTTTTTTCTATTTCATTTTCGCTTTCAGAAGTCTCATATTGTCTCTTGGTTCACTTATAAGAGATAGCCATATAATTTTAATTTTTGTATTCACTGTCTGTGCTCCCCACCCACCTCAGAGTTCCTTCTTAAGGGATGCTATCAGGCAGGACAAATCCCATTCGCCCTAATCCGCCAGAGCTACACGGATAGTATAGTTGTGATGAGAGTGGATATGAGCACCCGCACTCCCTCACCATATCTACCCAAGTATAGTATGATGTAAGTTTTCATGGCCCAACTGACCCATTATCTATCATCCCAACTAACCCTTGCCACTATGTGACTAGCCAATTGGAATGGATTGGGCTATTCCATCTGCCCATCTATACCAGGTAGGGACTGAAGTGACGTGTTGTGGAAACTCCTGGTCATTTTATATTAGATAAGGAGTCAGTCACCAGGATTCCATCCCCAGGCATCATAGGTCGCCACCCACGTCAAACAACATTTAGGGAAAATTTTAGTTTTTTGAAATCAGGTTTTGTCAATGTGCACTTTATATACTGCAATTTGTATTGATGGTATTATTATTACAAAAACTCCTTACACTTTCCTAGTATTCCAACTCCAGATCAAGGGAGGGAGGAAACTATTTACTCTTAGCTGGGACCCTAACAGGTGCTACCACACTAGGAACAACAACAACTAAGAGGCAGATCCACACTCCTCAAAACCTCCTGATCTAAGGCTTTGCTGCTGGATGCAGTTTATAGTCATATCCAGGACGGAAGAAGAAAAGAGGGAAGAGAGAAGAAAAGAGGGAAGAGAGAAGAAAAGAGGGAAGAGAGAAGAAAAGAGGGAAAGAGAGAAGAAAAGAGGGAAGAAAAGAGGGAAGAGAGAAGAAAAGAGAGAAGAAAAGAGGGAAGAGAGAAGAAAAGAGGGAGAAGAAGAAAGAGGAAGAGAGAAGAAAAGAGGGAAGAGAGAAGAGGGAAGAGAGAAGAAAAGAGGGAAGAGAGAAGAAAAGAGAGAAGAAAGGAAGAAAAGAGAGAAGAAAGGAAGAAAAGAGAGAAGAAAGGAAGAAAAGAGAGAAGAAAGGAAGAAAAGAGAGAAGAAAGGAAGAAAAGAGAGAAGAAAGGAAGAAAAGAGAGAAGAAAGGAAGAAAAGAGGGAAGAAAGGAAGAAAAGAAGAAGAAAGGGAAGAAAGAGAGAAGAAAGGAAGAAAAGAGGAAGAAAGGAAGAAAGAGGAAGAGAGAAGAAAGAAAGAAAAGGAGAAGAAAAAGGAGAGAAGAAGAAAAGGGGAAGAAGGAAGAAAAGAGGGAAGAAGGAAGAAAAGAGGGAAGAAGGAAGAAAAGAGGGAAGAAGGAAAGAAGGAAGGAGAGAAGAAGGAAGGAGAGAAGAAGGAAGGAGGAATCAGCCCTGTCAAAAAATCAGCACAAACATTAATTTTATTATTATTTTTTCTTTTTCTTTATATACACTGCTGGTTCTGCCCATTTTGAATGGGCAGTCTTTTCAATTACACCTATTTTTTCAAGTCTGTCTAATTCTTCATTGACTTTATCCACTGCTGTGAACTGTACACTACATTTTGGTTTAAACACTAGTGTTGACCCCTTTTTCACTTGAAATTTCATTTTGACTTTGGAACACTGATCCAGCTCATCTGACAGAACATCCTGAAAACATTTTTCAATTCTTCCTTTAAATTTTCAGTTTTTTTTTAGACTGATAGCTTTTCTACTTACATTTTTGCAATAAATATTTATAGGTAAATCCCATAACTCAAATAATTCCATCCAGTCAGTACCGAATAAGTTTGGAGTATTTTTAACACATAGGCCTTAGCTTTTACACATTTGTTATGAAATGAAACGTTACAAGACATTTCCCCAATAAAAAATAATTTCTTACCAAACAAGCAGCATGCAATTTTCAAAGTTCTTTTTAACCTTTACTGTGCTGGAGGTGAAAATTATCACCATAGAATTCTCTCCCTTTGCTGCTCTAGGCATATTATGCTGCCTTGATACAGTTGCTATAAATATACTAGTCAACTGTTGTTTCCAGTATTTCAGCTGGAAATCGCTTACTACTGCTTTGGAATGAGGCTAAACTTTTGTTTTCCAATGCATTTTGAATTCTTTTACACTCTACATGAGGTGTAACATTGATTAAACCCACATTAATTTTTCATGATATTTTTTTACAAACAAAAATGGCCACATCAACATCCAATGAAGCCTTTATTCAGAATTTTTTCTTTGATCTGGACTCCAATGATGATTTTGGAAGCTTTACTCAAGTGGATATTAACAGTGAAGTGGTCAATGATGATAACCATGTGTCACTCTGTGGAAGAGAACGTTAATGACTACTAGACAACCATTAGCAGCTACTATTATCTATGGCTTACTAATTTTATAGAAGCTACTGGCGACCACCAATATGCCTGATAGCCTTTCTAAAGGTGAATCATTTTTTCTATTCATAAACAATGAAATAACTTTATTTGTCAACAAGGCAAATAAATATGCTAGTCAGGTAAAAAAGACCAAACAAATGCTGGTGTTTTCTCATATGTAAACACGAGGAAGCACATAACTTTTTTGACAAAATGAAAGCCTTCTTAGTTATTTTGCTTCTTATTGCACCCCAGAAATCCACAAGGAGTAATAGAAGTTAAAGTATGTTAAATTGTTAAAATATTTGTTTTTTATTTTATTTTTTAATTTGTTTTATTTTCAACATCAAAATATGCATGCAAAATGTTTTTGTTTTTTTTTAACACACACCAAAGAAAAACTTAACCCAACATGGTTCTAATTTTTCATTGTCATTGTTATGTGCACCAAAGCAAAAAGTACTTTTTCCTACTTCATATAAGTTTTGATTGTTATAACTCACTCCTAGCAGTTATAATATTATATCTTGCTTAAGCTATTCACCATGACATCATTAGAATTCTCTCCAATTGGCTCCAACAGACTTCTATTGACACACTTTGAGTTCTTTATTTAAGGTGTCTTGCCTAGTTCATTTGTGTTACTAGGGGGTGTCTTATTTACTTCATAATATCCTTGCAGACCCGAAAACACATACTGTGCTGTAACTAAGTTGGAAATTTCATATTTAACAAATTTTGGCCAATTTCTATAAAGGATTTTTTCTGCCTACAAACAAAAAATAAATTTTAATCCTGGAGTTAGAATTTTTTTAATAAATGCACGAAAAAGACCTGAGCATATACAAAGGATACAAAGTTTTGGAGAGCCATGATGGTTTATACCCTGAAGGGATACAATACGCAGAAGTGCAAAAAGAGTTTAGACATATAAGCTACATAATCATACTCTTGTGGGAGAAACAAATTTATAAGATATTAATGCAATGGAAGTCAAAAAAAATTCAAGGATACTCACTCTTTGTTTTTGACAAGCAGTTTTTGAATGAAGTCTTTAGCAGCCTCAGAAATATCTTCAAAAATATCTTCATCAAAATCATATTGCGCTTGTGTCACATTGACAAAAGTTTCAGCATCTGTTTCTCCAGTAAATGGGGCCCAACCAGACAATCTAAAAAGCACAAAGAAAGTCTTGTCAAATCATCAAGAAAAGAGGAAAAATCCAATTACATTAGTTGCAAGAGCAGCTGGAAGTTCATTGATTCTGATTTACTGTATAATTGATAAACTACAAGTGAAAAGACCAAACTGAAATGAATGGCTGGGAGAAAAAGAAAATTATATACACATACACACACACATATATATATATATATATATATATATATATATATATATATATATATATATGATTCAATAAATCAAAAGTTAAATCTGGTTAACTGACTCAAGAGTTTTGAATTGAAACATTTATCAGAGCCAGATGTTTGCTAAATCTATTGAAATTATTATTAGATGTCACATTTATACTCTAAATACTGAATTTAAGTTCAGTACTAGATTGGTGGCAAGGTCTTGTTTTACAGTTGAAATAGCTAGATGTAATCGTAAGTTCTTTGCTAAGCTTCTTTACTCATACTTCTTGTTTGTGGAACTCTTTTGGTTTCTTGTTTTCCAGTCAACTTTGATCTTCAAAATTTTAAATGCAATGTTAATCATTATCTTGTCTTAATTTCTTTCTTTTTTTCCCCCCTTTTTTTACAGTGAGGTTAATTCTGTAGAAAACCCAGGGGCTACAGTGTAAGATGCATATTTATGTGGATAGGAGGGAAAGATAACTTAATTGTAGACTTGAACAGATTAAGGTTGTAGTGATTGGGGAAACACCCTCTTGGGAGTTGGTCCACATGACCGTGGTTCATGGGAAGAAGCTGCTCAAGTGGGACTTACTTTTCACCAATGGATTACAAGGGAAATGAGAGTGGTTTGCTACAATGTGAGTGGCATAGCGGTTCCTGGCTGTGAAGGTTAGAACTGACAGAATCAAGGAATGGAGTTTGTCTGAGCACTTTTCATGGAAGTAGTGATAGAGGAGTGAGAGGTTTGCTATATCCTGTCTGTGGGAAAGAGAGGTTGGCAGGCAGAAAATAATTTGTCACCCACAGAGACTCAGAAATGCTTTTGGATTCTATCAAGAATATAAAGTGAGGACTGGGCAGCACCTGCCCAAATATGACAACAGTGCTCCATTTTAGGCCTGATCCAGCTCTTGTAAAAGTAGAGAATAGCACGAGGAATCAGGTACATATTGGAGCATGCATTTTTCCTCTATTTTTAGCGATGGATTGTATGTACAAGTTCCACTTGATATCAGGGAGTCTCTTAATGCACAGAGCCTTCTCAAGGGGACATTCATTCAACATGACTCTTTTATTGTTCTCTCTCCTTAATAAGGTTTTCTTTTTCTCATATTCTCTTACACTCATTAGAATTAAATTTAAAAAAATTAAAATTTTTTTTCATACTTACAGCACATAACAAATAACCCCCAAACTCCAGAGGTCGGTAGCATGACTGATTTCATCATAATTGACTACTTCAGGAGCAATGAAGTCTGGTGTGCCAAACAGAACTTTGATACTCTCTCCAGGTTTGAGGCGTCGTGCTAAGCCAAAGTCAATGATTTTGATCAAGTTGTTGCTCTTTGCAATGCACAAAATGTTTTCTGGTTTCAGATCCAAGTGGATAATGTTCTTGCCGTGGAGGTAGCAGACACCCTCACAGATCTGATGCATGAAATGAGCACAGTCTGATTCTGTGAGGACAAAATCATCATCAACAATTCTTTCAAACAATTCACCACCACACACACTGAAAAGTAAAATGAAACATTACAATAGATTAGAAATAAAAACTAGGAATTAAGCAAAGCTAACAGATTTAGTTTAAGTGGTAGAGGAGAGAACCTTGTAGAAAATTGAAGAGGAAAAATAATCCTGTTGAAGTTTTCTTTGGGTTGGAAAAAATAGAGAGAAATTGATGTCTGTTTATACAGAATTTTATGGGCTTTTTAATGGTATATATAATCAATCCATGTAAAATAAGTTATAGCAAAAAAATATAAAGGATGTTATTTTTACTAGAATGGCAAAAAAGAACAATGTTTGGTAGAAACAATCTGTAAGTACACCTTTTCCAGTTTGAATATTTCCTTCTGAAATACAAAATAGGTTATAACATTTTAAGATTATTTGTATAGCCTTGATATCAGTGAAAAGTACAAAGATTTGGGACTATTCATTGAATTATAGATGGCTTTAAAAGATGTAAATATAAAAGTGTTTCTACCAACACACTTTTTTTTGCCATTCTAGTAAAAAATAAAACTTTATATTTTGTGTTATAACATTTTTGACCAAACAGATATGGACTGACAACATCTACCATTAAATGATTAATTACATTATCTACGGATTGACAATGTTGTTGCCAAGTATTTGAGTGTTCATAGACATTTTCTGTGTTAAATGATTCTTATGTTAGACATGAAGAGATGTCCACAGCTACCACATGATAGGGTAGGAGGGTTCAGGAGAGGGATAGCTCTGGCTTTTCTTTGGGCTCTCTTTGATTTGTCTTCTAGTGTTTTCAAAGGATGTTTTTTTTTTCATGAAATACTCTTAAATTGGTTCTTTCTGCAGTTTCTGTCTCCCAATTCACCGGATTGGTTTCTGTCCTCAGCAAGGTGTTTTTGAACTGATCCTTGAATCAATGATGTGGGGGATCCACATGGTCTCTTGCCAAATCCGAGCTCCAAGAAGAGGATTTGTTTGGGTAGATGGATGTCCAACATTCAGGCATGGTGTCCAAGCCCATCAAAGTTGGTGGCAAGTCATGATGGTTTTTAGTCTCTCCATCTTTGAAAAATGTAAATATTGCTAAATGTAATATAATAATTTAATATAATTTTCAATTATTATTTATTTTATTTATTATATATATCATGATTATTATTTGAAGTTATATATGTATTCTTTACTATTAGTTATTTCAACTTTTCCACAGTTACTGAGATTTTCTAGATTAGTATTTATTTGTTTTTGTACAACTAACCTGAAGATAATTTGTCTTATTTTTACTTTCTGTTTTTGCTTACCTAAACTTATATTTATCAACTTTGCATTTTCTACTCTCATTCATTTTTATCAATTGATAGTTTAGGTGTTAGTATTGTCAAAAAAGGCAGTACAAATGATTTTATTGTAAATTATAAATAATAACTTCATAATCTTGGACTATTTTAGGTTTAAATCTCAATTTATGTTTTTATTTTTTTGTATCTACTGTTTCTAAAATGAACAAACTTTTTTATATTTATGTTTGTTTATTTATGTAAGATTGACAACATACACCATTAAAAAGCCCATAAAATTCTGAATGTAAAGATCTCAATTATCAATTTCTATAGATTCTTTCTAAGTTTGTCATATTTCTAGTCAAATTCTACAGGACGAGAACCTCCGGATTATAATTTGGTATAATTTTAACATGGAATCATAAATTTTACAAAGACCAATTTGTAGTCAGTTTATTTTATATAAACAGATTAAAAAAATAAATCATTTTAATTCATTTTTTTTCAGTCATCAAAATAAACAGGCAATAATTTATTTTTTTGTTGGTATAAATGATTATTTCTTCAGTGATGCTTTACATCTGATAACTATGAGTAAATGTACATATTTAGATTGCTACCTTGTGTTTCTGTCTCATTAAGTCATGTAGTATGTTTAGTGTTTGGTCAGAGCATGGAGTCATTCCCCAAACTAGCAAAAGGAAAAGACAGCTCAAGTCTATTTATAAGACAGGCAAAAGCTGTAAAAGTCAATTGACACAGTCCCCTGATAATCCTGAGGCTATCTAGAACCCTACTGAGACATTCCACTTTCTCTTGGTCGACCTGGTGCCCTTCTCAACAGGTAGCAACTAAAACTTATGCTTTGCAAGAAGTTTCACCTTCCAAGATATGCAAAGGAACTCGGAGAGTTATCAAGTAGCTTTTCCTATATGTCATCTTAGTGAGGGTTGGCAAAAAGGATGCTTTTATTCCCAGTAGTATCATCACAGAAGTTAAGCAATGTTGAGTCAAGTCAGTACCAAGATGGTTGACCATTTGGAAATATTAGGTGCTGTAAGCTTGGATGTACGGGTGATGTAATGGATAATGGCTTGGAATTATAAATTGGAGAGCCCAGTTGAGTTTCTTATATTCACTTGCATGCAAAATGCAAAAACTCTTGGGAAAATTATGAATCTACTTTTTCTCCCTCCAACTATAGGTTAATTAGTAAAATTTATATTAGTAAATCATTATTACCTAAAAATTTCAAGTATCTCTGTCATTATAGACTTATACCTTTCTCAAGGATATCTGCATGTAAGTGAATGTAAAGAACTCAACCGGAATTCAAACTCAACTCTCCAATTTATTCTTGTGTGTGTATATATGTATGTATGTATTTAAGTTATGAAAAACTTGGTAATCCGTATGGGTAATCCTGAGAGCTCAATGTAAATCCAGAGCTAATATTTTAAAGAAAAACAGACCACTTTAAGGTACCATTATAATAATTTATTTCACTAGAGCCCTTTTAAAGGATGCCGGATCATCAGATAGCACTTCCAAAAAAATTTTTGTATAATAATTAAAAATTACAATAATGATAATAATATCAAATACAATAATATCAAACATAAATGAAGGGATTTTAAGTACAGATAAATAATAAAAAGTAAAAATAATAATACAAAAGATGTTAATTTAGGATTAGAAATGCTGTATGCATTGACAGGACAATTATAGATCCAACTACATATAAAGAAACACACAAAACCATGTGATATGCAATATAAACACATATACATACATACATACGTACACATGAATATATGTACACCCATATGTGCTAGCATCCATAATGGATTAACACTTCCAGTGTGCATCCTTCAAAATAGTTTGTTCTACACTTAAAAATAAGATCATTCCTTTGATTTGACAACTGGTTAGCATTTTGGTATTTGATTATTGCAATTTTTTTCTTGTATACACAGATTGTATCTGTCCCAAAGTTGTTAGGGATTTGATACTGACAGATGATTTCCTATTTGATTAGTGGGCTAAAACCATAATCTTCTAATAATACTTAGATATGGCAGTTTGGTGTTTCAAAGAAGCATTGGAGAAGGAATATCAGTGACTGTATAGTCTCTGTTTCCAATTTCCAGTGGATATCCCTTGTATGTTTTTTGTTGTTGATGTTTTGTTTTGGAAAAAATGGTAGCTTGGTAAACCACATTTTCCGAATTGGTCTCTGTTTTACAGTTACAAGAGTTTGTTTTCTGTTGTTTTGCTGTCATGAAATGCTTTTAGTGTTTGGCTGTTATGTGTGCATGTTTTTGGTGCAGGAATAACTAATTTTGAGTTTTTCTATTGAAAATTTTCTCTAGGGGGTTTATCTCTCTATCCCATTTTTTTTTTTTTTTAAAAGAACTTGACCATCCATCACTTCCTCTCATTCTTTCTTCTCTTTTGCTTTCCCTTCCCCCTGTCAATCTAATACATCAGTCCGGGGAATTGTCTCCATTTGCTAAAAGATTTGGGTCTGAAGAGATGAATATATAAATATTCACAAAATAAATTAAAAACAAAATTAATCTTTAAAGTTTTCTTCTTGATTATTATAATGCTCTGTAATTTACATTGTGCTCTCTGGATTAATATTCTCCTTCAAATTATCCCTATCAGTCACAAATTGGTGTATATATATATATATATATATATATATATATATATATATATAAAATAAAAACACACAGTTGATTATTACTGCCTTAGTGAATTTGATCCTAAGTGGATATCCCTCAACTGTAGCCTTGTACCACACACATTATAAAGATATTTATGTTTTTTCCTTTTCCCTATAGTCTTATTTGTTAATGAGGGTATTGTCAGTTAATTGATTACTAAATTTATTAGTAGTTGAAAAGTCAAAATGAAAGCTCTCTTCTGTCCCAGAAATAATCATCATTTTACTGACTGCAATTCCAATGAAGAACAAGTTAAATGAAAAAACAAGAAACAGAATTTTTGGATACAAACCTTTCAAGTGATACAAGTAATAATTATAAAATTTACATGAAAGAAAAAGAAATATTCCTTAACAGTTGATCTTTGTAAAATTTGTGAGTAGATATTCACAGTAAATGATACTTGATACTCACAATTCAGTGACAATCACAAATCCTGTGGGAGATTCATAAGCATCCCATAATCGAAGCAATTTGTCATGTGTCAATCCATTCATGATGTCAATTTCATTTCTCACGTCTGGTTTCTGCTTCTCTTTGCATTTAATTATTTTGGCAGCCCACAATCGATTGGACGATTTCTCAATGCATTTGTGCACAGTACCAAACCTCCCTCTGAACAATAGAAAGAATAATTTAAAAAATTATCACCATTAATTTTTTAAAACCGAATTTATTATTTTAAATTTTTTCAGTTTTTAGAAATTCGTTTTGTGAGTTATTTAAAGTTAACCTCTCTCTCTCTCTCTCTATATATATATATATATATATATATATAAGATCACACACAAAAAGAAAAAGGAAACTGAATGAAATAAACTAGACTACATGCTGAGGCAGATTTGAAAGAAAAAAAAAAATTCAATTTTAAATTTCAGTGTTCCAACATCTTTAACATTTCCTATCAGTGCACATCCGGTTTTTTGGTTTTTTTTCTAATATCAACCTAACCCTTCCCTACACATATAATTCAATCAACATAAACATTAATTTAGTCCAATGAAGTCCTTTTAGAGGTTACAATTTTTTTTTCTCTGTTATGCATTTTTAGCAGATTGGAAAGAGAAAAATGAAGCATGGTTGAATTCTGGCTGATTTCATTACATTCCTCTTACAAAAAATACTGTGTTAGGGATTAAATAGCAGGATAGACTGAGCTCTCTAGCCTTGGTTGGAAACCAGTCTATAGATATTTGATAAAAACACCCATCCCCCAGCAATCAAAATTGCACAATGAATGCAATTCTTATGTCATTTGAGTTGTATAATCAACCACAGACAGTATCTCTTGTTTTTTTTTCTTTTGATATAAATATATATTCTGTTTAGATTATATTCAGGCTATATCTTAGAGGCATTATACAAATATCTGGTTTGAATGAATTCTATTTAACCTGAATGCAATAAAAGATTCATATGTTTGACAAGTCAAACCTTACTGATCAATCTTCAAAGAGTTAATGTTCTTCCCTCATATTTCAGAAACCATTATAGGTTAATTCAAAATGCTAAAAAAAAAAAAAAAAAAAAAAAAAAGAGTTGCTGCCTATGGCAGATTATACAACTCACATCACTTAATTGCATTCATTTTGCAATTTTAGAGAAATATCATATTGCCACTTGTGGCCCAGGTGTTTCTGTTTTCTTTTTTTTTATCAAGTCATCTAGACTGGTTGCCAATCAAAGCTAGAGAACTCAGTTTGCTCTGCTATTTAACCCATACAAGGTGGAGGAAGAATATTTGTGTGAAAGGAAATGAAATGAACTTAGCCAGAATTCAACTTTCCTTCACTGATTTCTCTTTCCAAGCTGCTAAATATTACACTACTCACACATCTAACTTCAACTGAAAGCTAAAATTCAATTATTCTGTTTGACGGCATTTAAAACAGTCATTTTTAACAGTAATAAATAGTCCTTACTAATTTAAGTGATTCATCTTGTTAAATAAAATATCTATGTTGGGCTTGAAAGTAACTATTAGGGTTAGGAAATTCAAATCACTTCTTTGAAACTCATTTACAAATTTGAATTTGAAGTCTGACCCATTTCTACTTTAAGAGTTGATAAGCAATAGAAAACAAATTATTAACAACATATCTACCGTGCCATTGAAGTATTACTTACTTGCCAACTATGTCTTGAAGGATGTAAAAGCCTTCGAAATTTTCTGTTGAAATTTTTACATCTCTTCCATCGAATATAGAAGTATCTGTGGTAAAAAAAAAAAAAAATTAAATAAACCAATAAATGTCTTCAAACATTTTCAAATTCTCACATTCAAAAAAAGATTTGTCATTTTAAAACTTATTTAATTTTATGCATAACTTATCATTTTTTATCCACAGGAAAGAATAAGCATTGCTGGATGACTTATCCTGGAAATTTTACCAATTCATTTTATGATTTTATAAAAAAGACAAAAAGCATTGAACATTAGATGACATTGTGCAGTTTAACAATTACACCATCCAACATTGGTTGAGTAATCCAAAGCAACTTGACCTAAACTTGGCCACAACAGAAGAAACAAAAATATATCCAAAATTTGTTCTAATTCCATGTGCTGACATGGCACATGGAATTAGAACAATATACCCCCATGGACTAAATAAAGGGTTCAGTTCAAAATTCTAATATATATCACCTGAAGGCTGGAGTGTACAACAGCTAAAATGAAATATAGCAATAAAGATGAGGACAACAGTCCAAACGATGTAAATAGTGTAAATAGTTACAATATCTTATCTCAGAAATATAGACAGATATTAATAATGATTTACTGAAGCAATTGTTACTAATTAACCCATAGCTGGGAGGAAGAAGCAGTGGATTCATCCCTTTCCCAGGGGTTTTTGCTCATAATTGAATATAATGAACCTGACTAGAATTGGAACTCCACTCTGATATTTCCAATTCTGAGACGTTATCCATTAAACCACCTGCACATCCAAGTTTACAGTATCTGGTATTCCCAAGTCCTCACCCATCTAGATACTAACCAGGCTTGATGTTGCTTAACTTTGGTCATCATGCTAGAACTAGTGTTTCAAGGTGATATTGCCGTAAGCCTCTTTTGATCCAACTGTCCATAGTAACTCGAAATGTTGATTCTTCAAATACATACTTCAATCTTGGGAACCAAAAATCATTTGCTGGCTGCAATATGGCCTTGAATTTTTATGATAGAAATAATTCTCCATAATTATTCTAAATGCTTGCAAAATTTTGTTGCTATATATGTAAAAATTTCAACTGGCACACAGACTTCTCATATCAATATTTCTATTACTGATCTTTGCTTTATATATAACCCAGACACAGTACCCATGACTAACACATGCTATTACTCAATGCCATCATTAAGTCCATTTGAACAGTACTTTATATACAATATTAGATTAACCTAGTAGGAAATGCTATGGGCCCTACATTAAATACTTTCAAGGTTGTCTAGTGAAATCGCTATCTTATGATCTGGCAATATTAATGTTTACACCTTAGGGAAGCTGCATTCTTTACATATTCACCATATCTGTTAAATCTACTGAAATATCTCAGTAGAATTATTTGCTTCATATTTTATAATTATTTTATAATCAGTATACTAGTAAATAATTTATGTATTTCTTAATTTAGCAATGCTTTATAATATATACTACAAGCCCTCATCTTTATTGCCATATTCAAGATGTTTCGGTCATTGTACACTCCAGCCTTCTTCAGATGATATACATTGGAATTTCAGACCAAACCCTTTATTTAGTTCACAGGTTTAGATTTTAATTCCATGTGTTATGCCTAGCTTAATCCAGCCCTGTTATATATTACACATTCAAACAAGTTTCTATCTCGGCTAGTAGCGATGTCATGCTAATCAATCAACTTTCACATTTTTCACTCAAACTGGAAATATTTGTTTAATGTTATCAAAAGATTTCAAAAAAATATATTTAGAACATCAGATGAACCAAAACAATAGGTGTAGACAGAATGTATAATAAAAGTTTACAAAATCTAAATCTCCATATACATACATGCAACATCCTCACAAGATCTTTTTCAGCAGGAAGAGTTAGTTGCTTTTATAAGCAGTTTGTTGGACCCTTTACAGTTTGCTATGTGTGAAGCATGGAAATAGATTAGTATATTTTACTATGAAATCTATTCCACTCTGTGACACTTGAACCACGATTGATTTACAGAAGCCCATTTACATGAACTCATTAACCTCATTCAGTAGAGAGGCATTTTTCTTTCTTCTCTTCTGCAAAAATAGCATGCGACACGAAAGCATTTTGGCCTTCAGGGTATAAAACCATTTTCTTTTGTACAGAGAATTAGTTCAGATAATCATGACTTTTCATGACTATCTGAAGGTCAATATATCTTTTAGTTATGAAAACCAAAGAACACCATTCTATTGCTCCTCATAGTAAAAGATAATATGTAATAGTTGTAAAATTGTTCATGCTAAATTGATTAGTAACTTGTTACAATGTATACTAGGGCATATAAATAAAGTTAGTAATAATCATTGTACATAATGTTTGAAAAGCAAAAAAAAAAAAAAACGAAAAAGTAAATGAAATAAAAGTATTAAAATTAAAAAGGTAGAAAAGATTAGTTTTCTGTAACAAAAGCATCAACATTATATTTCAGAAAATTTAAAGTCATTCTTGAGGTGTTTCAAAATGTACACTTATGCATCTGGTGTATTGTTTCTGCTGCACATGTGCATCCATTCCATGTTTTTATTTAATATCAGGAGGTGACAGTTGTATGGCCTGTAGGTTGAATCTGACCAACAGCAATGTTTATTTCAGCCAAAGGCTAAACTTTATTTTTTAAAATTATTACTATTATTTTTTTAGATTTTAAAAGATTATATATATGGGGAGAGAGAGAGAAATATTTTTAAACATGTTTGGTTGAACAATATCAACTTGTTCTATCAAATTTTTATTAAATTTTTCAAATTAGTTGTTTTATGATAGGCATGTCTGCTTTTTGCCTGAAAAACAGCATAGCATAATGAAAAAAGACCCAAAACTTAACAAAAACAAAGTTTTATCATCAAAATGTTTATGTTATTATTAAGAGGAAAGACCAAAGTATTTTTTTAAACCTTTCTAACACATTCAATTTTTGGTTAAAAAATCCTGCTTTTTTATGTCAGCAATGTAAGTAATTTTTACAATTAAGTGTTTTTGCACTTTTTTTTCCAGTGAAAAGCACATTCTGGAAATTCTTGCAAAAATAAAATAATTGTTGGATTTTTATGAAACTTTCAAAACTTATTCACAAATGAATGAAATTATTTTTGAAATTTTTTGTTTTGAAAAATCTTGCTTGGTAAAAATTTTTTTTTTTCTTTTACATACTACACCTTACTTAATTTAATGAAATTTGGAGAAATTAAATCATCTTTTTTTTTCTATTTTTTTCAAATTTTTGCTCGTTTTTTGAAAATCTGCTTCAAATGGTAAACTAAAAAAATGTAATAAAACTATGATATTATTTAATTAGAAAACCTTTTAATTGCTTTTGTAAATGAGTTATATTTAGGACATTATTATCTTAAGAAAAAAAAATTTTGATGAATAATGCATTTTAACAAGAATTTTTTAATTTTTTCAAAATTTTAGAAAACTGTATTCATGAATTAAAAATTGAAAAGCTTAATATAAGTCATTTTGCACCAATATTTTAAAAATAATTTTAATCTTTTACTTTAAGCATTCCCATTTTTCATCTATGGTAGTCTCTAGGTAACATTATTATGAAAAGGTCATGTGTTCTAAAAGTTATCCTCTTTTTACAGAGAAATTCGATTGTCTCCAATTTGTTATTCATTGCTTACATTTCAACAGGTTTTGAACACCATCCCTTCAGTTTTAAAACTTTAAAATTTAAAGTTTTACTTTTTTTATTTCTATTTCACAAAATATTTTTATTGTATTTATTTTAGCATGGGTCATAAGTTATTGAGTTACCTCTACCATGGTATTTCATCTCAGTTATTAAATTTTAAAATTAATCTAAGATTTTATGGTATTTTAAATTTTATTATTTTTTCATAAAGCATCTTCAAACATAACTAAAAGTTGATAAATATTAGATAATTGCTGAAAATATGTTAATTTGTAAAAATTACTAGGTAGTTAAAAAAAAAAAAAGATATTGTAAATTTATGTCAATTCTGGTCATCCGTATTAGCTTTCAACACCTGAGAACTTATTGATACATCAATAAAGACAAAAGAAAAACAGGACCCATTGTTAAGAAATGCTTGTATACTATTTTTTTCATGCTGTAAGTAATATTTGTTTCAAACCAGATTAATTTAAATTTGATAATTTTACTCAAATTATGTGTCACAAATATATATTTTTGGAAGATTTTCAAAACTGATATTTAAATTGTATTTTAAAACTTGTTAAAATGTAAGAAATGGCCACCAGTAAACAGATTTTTTGAAAACGACCAAATATTTGACATTCCAATCTATATAATCTGTAATTGAAATACACCAAAGTATTATACCTACTGGAAATAGTCAATTTAATTCTTTAGCTTTCAATTAAAGCTAAAAAGAAATCTTCAAGAATGCATTTTCATTTGTAAAAATTCATTTAAAACCTTAGGTATTGAAAATCTTAGCAAAAAAGTGAAGTTACCTATTTTATGTTATTGGTAAATTTGCCAAAGTTCATATTCATTTTTTATTTTATATTATTTTTTTCCAAGTACTTTTGTTTTCAAGGATTCTGTTTTGTGTATGGGAAAAAATAATATAAAATAAAAATATGAAATTTGGCAAACAAAACAATGAATTCAGAAATTTTTAAAAGATTTGCAAGACAGTACTTTTTGATATTATTCAACTAAACAGGCTTGAAAAAAATTATTGCTACTGATATATATTATAAAACAATTTATCTTTAAACATTAACCTGATTATCTGCCCTTAGTTCTGGAGCCAGTTATGTATTCCATCTATCAAGCATGGGTCTTACAAACTGTATACATACATGCTTTGTTTTTATTTTTAAACACTATACCTGAATATTTGAAAAATCTTATTAAAGAAAAATATGAGCCTTCTGGCAGGATTTGAACCTGTGTCCCACTTGGCAGGAGAAACTTGTTAGATCCAACATGCTTATAATGAATAAATATACAGTTAGACTATTTCATTGATCTATCTTTTCAAGGGTTCATTAAATCTTTTTTTTTTTTTTAATTTTCAGTAAATATTTCTGCCATTAGTTTTGGGTTACAATCTGTTGTCCTGTTGGTGTATTTATAGCAAGCATTTATGATTAATATTTTGAAAGAGTCGGGTGTCTTTGGGAAAAATATTTTGACAAGTGTTTGAAAATGTATCGTTTTGATTTTTTTAAATAAATGTAGAGGAACGTAAACAGAATCATTGCAAATTGTAAAATATAAGTATCCTAATTGCCGAACATGTGATTTGGTCTGATTTCTACTTAATGATTCTGCTTGAATAATGGATTCAAATTGGCATTGTGAGATCACCATATTAGCTCCCAAGAATCAAACTGTGGATACCATCAACTGGAAACTTCTCCAATAAATTTCAAAAGAAAGCATGAAGTACTTTTCCATTGACACTATGGTTTGAACAAGAGCAGGCAGTGAATTATCCAGTAAAGTTCCTGAACTCATTGAATCCTCCTGGAATGCCATCACACAAGTTAGAACTAAAAGTAAATGTGCTCATTATACTATTGAGAAATCTGGATCCTCCAAAACTTTGTAATGGAACAAGGTTAATTGTCAAGAAGATGCTACCTCATCTCTTGGAAGAAGAGATCTTTACTGGTGGAGGAAAGTGTTTTAATTCCAAGAATCCCTTTAATTCCTCCAGATCTTGCTTTTGAGTTCAAAAGACTTCAGTTTCTAGTGAGAGTGGGCTATACAATGTCAATCAATAAGTCCCAAGGACAATCGTTAAAGGTAAGTGGACTTCATCTAATGGAACACTGCTTTTCTCATAGCCAGATCTACGTTGGTTGTTCAAGGGTTGGGAATGAAAACAACCTATTTGTACTGACCCAAAATGGGAAAACCAAAAATGCTTTTTATCATGCAGCTTTGCAATAAGTTCCAAATAAAATTATATAATTTTTTTTTTATGAAAACTTGTTTGAAAAATATTGTTCAGTTTAATAAAATTTAAGAGCAGATAAAGGTCTTGAACCATGGTTGGTTTGGGTATAGCTTGTTGTTATATGTAGATCAGTAACAGTTTTGGGTACAAGTTAGTTGGAGAAAGTTTGTTTTTTCTTAATCAGTTGTTGGAGATGTTGGTTTCTAATAAAAGTTATTTTGTATTCAGTTTTTGATACAAGTTGGTTATTAGAGTTAGAACGGTTACATTTAATAGGTATCTTTCTGAAGTCTGAAGGGTACGTCTTTTTTTCCTTTTAATAAGTATCATTATGAAGATTGAAGGGTACATTTTCCCCTTTTAATAGGGATCTTTATGAAGTCTGAAGAGTTCCACATTGTTTGACATTTTCTTTTGATATGCTCTTTTATTTTTTAAAGACTGTGTGGTATCTATATGGCTGAACATTTGAGTTATTTTTCAATGAGCATCCCTTGAATAAGTGCTCCTTCTAAAGGCCCAATATCTAAATAAGTGCCCATGCTTTTATTTGAAGAAATACCTTTTCTCTTTTTTACTCTGACTGTGGTTTTCCTTGTTACTGAACCGTATCACTTGACTATTCAGTTGATTTACCAAAAGAAATTTTATTTGAAATACTAAACTGGATAGAGGGCCTTTTTTTTCTTTTTTAACATGACAAGCTTGTCCAAGATGGAAGTGATGTGTTGATAATGCTTACCTTCCACATGCAACCTGACAATGGTACTGTCGTTACCCTGTTTGTTGTTCACAACAACATTATAGGCTCCCTGGTCTGTGGGTAATGTGTTCTGGATTGTGAAGTAACCAATGCCACAATTATTGTTTATTATAAGGCGATCATCTAGAATGAAGGACAGAAGGTGAAATATAACAAGAACATTTTTTTTAACAATCTCATTTGGTGGGGTGGGGGGGGAGCAGGACATGTTATAACCAGAATGGTCTTTAAATATTTTCAGGTATTATAATTATTATCTTGGTTTTCTTATAAAGCCAGTGAGTTAAAAAATTCATGGTTGATAAAAAGGGGAACTACTTTTTAAATAACCAAACTCCAACTACAGTTCAAAGTTACTTTTACTTGTACTAATGATACCTGATCAGGAATCTAGAGTTAAATGATTTTCAAAACAGGTTTTTCCTTTTTCTTTTAAAATGTGGAAATATTTATGATGGAAGAGGAAAACAAAGAAAAGGTTAATTTTGACATAATTTGAGGGGAAAAGATTATATGTATTTAGAAAGAAACAATTATTCCTATATAAAAATATGTAATAATTCTTTAATAATAAAATAGAGGTTTCAATATTGTACACAACAGTTAGTAATCTTGAGTAATCTTTTTTTTCTCTTACAATGTTGATATTTTCTTTTCAGTTTTTATAACTAACACTATAGTAAATAATACAAAAAATCAGATCATTATCAAACACAAATGCAGACACCCACACTATTATTATCAAGTAGCATATTGGACTGGCAATTGCTTTATCCTTTAAGCTTATAAAATTTTAACAACATTGTCCTAAAATAATGTTTTTATTTAGTAACAAAGACAGCCACAAACAAAAAATCTGACCCTTCTCTTATAATGACAAAAGTACGAGTCAAACTACACATACACACGTGTTTAAAATTTGCTATATTTAAAAAGGTAAATAGTGCTCAGTATCAGAGACAGAGCATTTATAGACATAGGCACTACATAGAGACACTACGTTTCACACTTCATCATGATCTTCAGAAAAAGTACCACTATCCCTTTAACGTATTGTATATATAGATCACTGGGAGAATTAAAGGAAGTAACACGCAGAGGAAACCAACCATTCCCAATTCTTTTATATACATATATTTGACCTCTAGATTACTTATTTATGCTGGTTAGAAAAAGTATTAATTCTTATGTTAACACACACACACACACATATATATATATATATATATATATATATATATATATATATATATATATACACACACACACACATTTTACATATACATAAGTTCACAATACTTATGACCAATTAAGTTTTGCAATGTTAACACTTATAAAAATATAGTATTATTGACAGTATATTTTTATAGACATTATATATAAAATCTCGCCTATTGAGTGCTGGTGCTAATCAAATAATGTTTGATGTATAATAACAAATGTGCATGTATTTACCTTTTTATATGAATACAATAGTAAACATATTGATATGTAATTAGATATTATAAATAAATATTTGTATATACACTTTTGAATATCTATGTAAATGTTGATTTATATAATATATTTGGATATGACATTATATTTGTGCATGCATTTGTATTATATTTGAAACTACTTATTTGATGTGTATATTTGTATTTGGAGGCATGCATGTGTATACACACACATTATATATACATATAACCCCTCCCCCATAAATAAACAGACTGCTCTACTATCATTACAGTATAAATATCAATATTTAGATTATGCAACATTCAGTTTTCAATAAACACCTGATGACTGCATTGTGTGTGTGTGTGTGTGTGTGTGTGTGTGTGTGTGTATAAAATAAAAAAAAAAACATATTTAAGTTTTCAGTTATTACAATATTGTCATGGGATTAACTATTGTCAGTATAGAAAATTTATTTAGCATATTTAATAAGCATTTATAGAAATATTCTGTCAACAATACAGTATTGTTATTTGACCCTGAGGAGCATTAACATCACAAAGTATTTAGTAGTTCATAGTTTTAGGGAATTTATTTATTGATAATAATCCTTGTTCTATATGTCTACTGAGTACTCTTACTGAAAAGATTCTGCTCACTTTGACATAGGTTAAATTAATTTTCTTATATCAATATTATATACAAGTCTATTACTTTTGGTAGCAAGTGAAAATTACAGAGACATGATAGACTATTATTTTACATATATTTAACATTATCCCAGATTGTGATAACAACATTTCACCTTTCTTAGCAGATCATCCATTATCACAATATGGGACGATATTTAATAACAAAAGCATTAAAAAAATGTAAACAAAAAGAAAGTAAATGAAATAGGCTAGACTAAACATGTATTTAAAAAAAATAAAGTTCATGTTTAATAGTTTAAAATTTCAGTATCTCCTCTGGTTCATGGACATGTGTAGTCATATCAATGTAAACATCACTTTAGTCTGATGAAATCCTCAATGACAAAACATGTCGCATAAAACATTTTTTTCCACTTTGTAATTGATTTTCCTAGTATATATGTAAATATAATAGACCAGTGAAAGAAATTCAAGAGATAAAAAAATAATAATGAAAATAATATTTATTGCATATTAGGCCTTTAGACCAAAAAGAAGCATGAAAAAAGATGTTAAAAATCTTTACTATCAATTAATCACATATCACACACATACATATATATATGTGTAAGTGTGAAAAGTGTGTGTATATAAATAATATGTCTGACGATCACAAAAGCGTGAAACCCAGGTTCACAAACTCACATCAATCCAACCAAATATATATATCATGCAGTATGATTTATCAAGTTGAGACTTTACATTTGTGTACTTTAACTGAAGAAGGTGATCTATTCTTACATGCATAATAGATATATTAAAGGGAATTTTTTTTTTATATCAAAAATAAACATTCAACAATAGAAATATTATTTGCTAAAGCCTTATCACCCACATTCCATCATGTAGAATATTTTAAAAAGTAAACACAAATTGTAAGAGAGAAACACAATTGGCAGACACTTCACAAAGAAGCTTGTTAGAAACATACAAATTTTAAAAAGTGAAATTAAACAAACAAGGGAGGTAATCAAAATGCAAGACCAAACATGACAAAACTAACACAAAGCAAGACAAAACTAACACAAAGCAAAACAAAACAAAAAAAAAAAAAAAAAAAAAAAAAAAAAAAAGGAAAGGATCCATGTACACAAGTAATTCTTAATATGAGCAGTAAATGTTCAGGAGAGTTGAGGGAGGAGGCACTATGATTTTAAAAGAGTAATAAGATGATTTAACTAAGTGAACCCTGATCAGACCAAGTCACAATAATTTATACAGGGTGTTCCAAAAGTTGCACTACTATTGGAAAGCTTTGTAAATTTTATATTTATTTACCAAATTAAATAATGTTTCTGTATGTAAAAATATATTATTAGGAAATTTTAATGGTCTAATTATGGAAGATGATGTTATGCAAATTTCCCTTGGTTGCTATTTCCAAAGTGTACATTTTCTGACAATTGTAGCATGACTTTTGGGACACCCTGTATACACATTCATTTATGTTTTTTACAAATATATTGACATTTTTTATGTATTCTAAACATTAAAAAAATTTTTTTTTTAAATCAATTCACCCAAGCAAGGCAATAGAGCCACTAAGACACAAGGGGTTACTGGGAGTGAAAGAAAATAAGACTTTTGAAGGAACCACAAACCCAATCCTAAAAAGGAGATAATTGATAAACCTCTATTAATTACCATGTGCATATAGAGGGGAAAAAAAAAAAAAAAAGAACGTGCAAACCAGTTGCTTCTAATGGTTTGACCTGGTGGTCATACTAGCTTACTTCTGGTGACTTGCCCATTTCTATAATGCAGAGAAAACAAACATACTACATTAATGCTTCTTCCTTTACCAGTACAATTTTAAAACGGGGGGGGGGCTTCTCTGTGAAAAGGGTTTTTCATTACTGATCTAAACTAAAATTTACTGATAACTTTATTTCAAAGTATAAACAATTGTTATGATGACAGGTTCTTTAGTTAAAGAGAAGCATACTTGAAGAGAAGTTAAAATTGCCTAATTGTAACTTGTTGCATATTTATAGGAATTGGTTAAAGTGAATCTACCAGGGAATAGAATTGAGTTAAAAAAAAAAAAGAAATCAGTTTAGCTTCATTCTTTCATTCATAAACTGTACATGATATGATCAAGATGGGCCCATTCCAAGAAACAGGTAAAACATTTTTTGGCTTGTTATGGGCATGTGTTTTTTTTTTCAACTCTACAGCCTCTTTTCCACATATGATAAGTCATAAGCTTATTGTTACTTTCATGGTAAATTTTCAGACTAGCTACATTCCTTAGTTCCAACATTTCAGAATTTTACAGCTAGAATCAACCATGTCATGTACACAGGGACAAATCATCCTCATTCTCTTTGTATTCCATTGGAAATTCCACTTCTTGAGAACTGCAACTTTTTGGAATAAACTCCAGAGAGGATGCTTCCCTGATCATTACAATTTTAACCTCTTCAAAGTCTAGGGTCAATTAGATGTCCTCATAATCTGCATTTACTTTCTCCTGTTACATTCCTACAACAACCTCATTCAGTAACCTTCTACCTTGAGTGGCTCTTGGACATTGTATTGAGTGAAACAATTAAAAAAAAATTAAACAATTTTGATAAAAGGAATAAATAAAAGGTTCTGAAGCTGTTCAATTTGGATAAGTTTAAATATTACCTGGTTCAACTTCTTTACGTCCTCGGAACCATTTTACATCTGCGTCTCCTGTGTGGGACACAGTAAACATTGCAGCTTCTCCTGATTTGACAGACAAGTCACTGGGAGTAACAGACAAAATTTCTGGAGCCTTTACTTGTACATTATTTTCATCATTCAAGGTTTCCTTTTCTTGCTTATCACCTGTACATCACACAAAAATAACAGAAAAAAAATTAACTTCTTTTAAAGAAAAATTCAAGAAAACGTGTGCACTGTAATTTTCATGGCTTACATCTAATATAGGAAAAGCACAAAATGTCTAAAATATTGAGTTTTAACGTCTGAGGATGCAAATTATCTCCCCTAGCAAAATCAAATCCAAATTATAACACTGATCAACACCAACTTTATTGTCTAAATTTTTTTTAGCAGATTTAGGACAATTTTGCTGTGCTGAAGAACGATGCAAATTATTGGTTTTGCACAATCAGATCAACTTTTTGAACTCTGGCCACATGCTTTAAGTTTTTGTTTACATTGTCATGGCCATTAAAATATTTAAATATGCAACATATTTCACACAATAAAACTAATTATGTTAATTATAAACTTATTAATTTTAACTCATTAGAATAATTTTCAGCCAAAAATATATGAAAATATGCCTTGAAAATATTTATAAACTAATAACACGCAATAACGTGCTTCCATCTCAAAACACACCAATTAAACTGTACAATACAAAACCATAGAATACAAAAGGTTGTATTATTAGTCATAATTTAGGTATACTACCAAAATATTGCACAGATGTAGTAGTAAGCATGCCATGTAACTTTTAACGGGCAATTAAGAATAAGTAAAATTATATAATTCAGAAACCAATTTCTCAGGAATAAAAGTATAAAAAACACAATGTTTGACCTCAATGACAGTCTCTCAAATTCCACTAAGGGTCATGTCACTAACTGCCAATATTCAAAGCCTCATTCACTTTCACACACACTATCAAGTAATGATTCAGCAACTTGGTGACCAGAATAAAGATTGGGCACCACACATGGTATATAAGGCATGTACCGAGTATCTGTGTCAGTGGACCAAGGGCAAGAATAGTTGTTTGAAATTTGGAATTCCCATGGTTTAGAGGAAGTCAACAAACCATAGCACTGACTGCTACTTTTGTGCTATTGATGTGATTGGGATTAACAAAAAGGACTGGAGCAGCCTCAAGAATCCTGGTCTTCAATCAGTACATAGTCATGTAGCTCATTGTGATGAAATTCCAATACCTGTCTTTGGTGAACTTCCTGACATTAGTGAGGAAAATTTCTCCAGTGTTCAAGAAAATGAAGTGGTTTTTGACGATGATGCTCCACATCCTTTTTCCCAAAAGGAACTAAATGATCTAGTTCACGATTTCAGTTTGTCAAAGTCCTCTGACAAACTGTTGGCATCCAGATTGAATGAAAAAAAAAAAAAAAAAAAAAAAAACTCCCTGACAGAGCTTGCCTCACATTCTACCACAACAGAGTATCTCAGTTTTTTTCTCTGAAGAGAACTTTTTGGACTTGATATATATTACACAGTTTCTGCACAAAATTGGAGTGCCACAGTACGAACCCAAAGATTGAAGACTGTTCCTTGACAGCAGCAAACGATCCCTGAAAAGTGTTCTACTGCACAATGGCAACCAGTTTGCCTCTGTACCCCTTACTCATTTGACTACACTGAAGGAGTAATATGAAACAGTCAAGTATGTTCTGGAGAAAATTCTTTATGATTAGCATGAGTGGTTTATTAGCATTGACCTGAAGATGCTGAACTTTTTGTTGGGACAACGCTAACTGTTCACCAAGTATCCATGCTTTTTGTGCATGTGGGATAGTAGGGACATTGCTCAGCATTACATGAAAAAGGACTGGTATGTTGGGAAGGAACTGATGCCTTGCAGAGCAACAAATGTCATCAATAAGCCTGTGGGGGACAGAGGATACTTTTCCCACCACTGCACATCAAGCTCGGCTTGATCAAGCAGTTCACCAAAGCTCTGGACAAGAATAGTGTCTGCTTTACTTACCAGGCTTTTCCAGGATTGATGATGGAGAAGTTGAAAACTGCCATCTTTGATGGTCCTCAAATCAGTCAGCTCATCAGAGATCCAGAGTTTGAAAACTCAATGTATGAAGTGGAACTGAAAGCATGGAAAGCTTTTGTTCTGGTCATGAAAAACTTTCTTGGCAACAAGAAGGCCAGAAACTATACAGAACTTGTTATCAATATGCTGACTCCTTTCGGAAATGTTGGATGCAGCATGAGCATCAAAATGCATCACTTATTCTCATATATGGGTCAGTTTCCTGAGAATCTGGGATCAATGAGTGACAAACAGGGGGATGGATTCCATCAGGACAAGAAAGAGATGGAGACCAGGTATCAGGAAGACAGTTATGAAGGCTGATTACTGCTGAACTTTGAAGAGAGACACCCCTGCCGCTGATCATTCTAAGGGATTGAATAAATGGAATTTCCAGCCCTGAATTTTGAATTATGATGTTGTAACATGCAATTTACATGTACTTACATGTATCAATGTATACTCTACAATTTATTTTCAATGTTTGTAACATTTAATTAATAAATTGTGTTAGAAAACAATTGTTTTCTCTTAAGACTTATTTTGTATAAGAAATATTAAGTCAGTTGATTATGTCACAAAAATGTAATTTAGTTGAAGATTGGATTTTTAAAAACTCAACTTAGCACAAAAACATGAACTTAAAAGAGAGAAATGGATGTCATTTTTGAACTCAGCAGTGAAAAATTGTCCTAAATCATTTGGAAAAACATAGACAACTTAAAAAAATGTTTTTTTTATTGCCCATTGTAATAATTAGAAGTGTTGTCTGTCACATGATTGTGTTTTAATGTTGGGAACATACTTATGTCATTGTAAATAATATCAGGTTTTGTCTTTTTTTTTTTGTCATTCATATTTCATCTGTACCATGAAATGATCATATATTAAATTTATTTTCATCACAAACTTAGAGAAAATAAATAAGAAAAATTAAAATATATAATCTTGTATGCTACCAGACAATGACCAATGGCTGATATATATCAATCAATTTTAGTCACAGTGGTGCATAGCAAGTATTTTTCTGGGCCATATTTGATACTAATTAAAAATTAAAAAATAATATTATAAGGCCGAGATATTTTATGTATTTTTACAGCTGTCAATGTTTTTTATAGGCATCCACAAAATAAAAGGTATTAAAACAAACAAATGTTCAACTTAAAAAAAAAAAAAAATTGTAATTTAAATTAAAATACTCATCTAATTGAGCAAATTAAACAAAATAAATTGTTTAATATCAAAGTTACTTTCTTTAACAATAATATATTTAAAACTTATTTTTCCCTTCAATAAAATTGTATGCATAATTTAAAAGTACATTAAATAATATTTTTTTTATATTGGTTTCAAAAAGCTGAAATTTGCAATTAAATAAGCATTTACTTTACAATGTGTAAATTTCATTTTGCATATAAAATTTGATCAAATGGCTAAAAACTTTAAAAACTTTCTGAAAGTTTTAAAAAAAAAAAAAAAAAAAAAAAAAAAATCAATAAAAATCAAGAGACCAATTTCAAAATTACACACAAACCTTCAATCAAGAAAAGTTTATTAGTAAATATATTTTTAATATAATAAAATTCATGATGCAAACATGCAAAGCAGTTGCAAAGTAAAACTCAGCCAAACATTAGGACACCTGATTATGGCCAGAGGGTATTTGGCCAAAATGTTTTGTCTATAATAACATCTATAACAACAAAGAGGAAAAAAATAGTTCAAAATAATTAAAATATATTAAAATAACTCGTTTTTCAATAAGTTTTATATCTTTTTATCTATCAATAAATTTGATTGAAAATATACAACTTCTGTCAGATATTTTGCAGAATTAAAGAAAGGGTTGATTGGAATCAAATAATTAAAAAAGATACAAAAGAGTAGAATTTCACTGCTGATTTGGACAATTACAGAAAAAGTGAAAATAAAAAGAAAAGTGAAAAAAATCCAGAATGGAGGCAGGAGGGGGGGATGAAACACTGAATAAAAAGCTGTTTTTTTCTGATGAGAGAAGATGACCTTTCATCAGTGATTCTCAAATGGATACTCCTGACAGTTATAGGACAATTTAGAAAATAAGTAAATAATAGAAAGAAGAATAAAAGTTTTAAAAAATTGTTAAAATATACTGACATCACAATTTTGGAATATAAAATGTCAATAAAACTTTGAAACTGATCAATCAAATGTTGATAAAGATATGAAAACTGACATCTGTTCCCATCCAAAATTGTATGCCAGAACAACAGAAGCCTGATACAATCACAATATCATTTCTTTCCATTCTGGTATTGCTGTTCTGGATAATTGATTTGCTGTGATAAACATAGAATATATTTACATGAATTTGTGCCTTTTATTTTCTTCAATCAACATGAGAAGTATCAAGATTTATTAATTATTAAATTTAAGTAAAATTTAAAATAAAACAAATGAAGAAACACAGATTGCAAATTTGTATCCTATTTTAAATCAGAATAGAAATAAGTTGTATTTTGGGAATTTAGGACTAATTTCTTTGTTAATGTTGTTTGAATCATATTTCAGCCACTGTACTCTCCAGAGATTGTTTTTTTAATTCATATTCTTCTGTGTCAGTTGAAACTTATATATATATATATATATATGTGTGTGACCAATTTGTTTGAAGTTTGTATTTTCTTAATTGCAACTAGAAACTTTCAAAATTTCTAACATATTTCAGTGAAATTTTCACATTCCAAATTTGTAGTTTATATATAAGTTGTCCAAATGCTGAAAAATTTTCACTTAATTTTTGGCTACTTTTCCATCATTATTGTTGTCTTTTTTTATCACAACTTTCTACAACTTTCAAGTAAACAACATGGATCAAAAATAAAGTCCCCTATGAAATCTGAACTCATATCTCACATCGGTTTTATTCATTTGTCTCTCTCATAAGTGGTTACTTTCTGATTTCCTATCTAGGCTGTTACATTAAAAAGAAAACAATGGCCTAAATTTTGTGATAAAAAGCAACAGATATAAAATGAAAGAAAAAATAGTTATTTTATTGAGGACAAGGAGTGATGGAGCTAAAGATTTTTTTGACAATTATTTATTACAGACCAGACAGGTATCATGCATTCAGATGCAGGATACCAACTTTGACACAGATTTATTGAAGGTAATTAAATGGTAACAGCAGAAAACAAAACCATTGCAAAGTTTTATAAACAATTTCTAAGTAGAATCTCACATTAAAAATACAGCAGTCAATAGATTAACATAAAAAATCCTAATGGAGAGGAGAATACTGAACAATGATTGGAATTAAAAATCATTCTGAGAAATAAATTCTATTAATTTACTTTTTCAAGTGATTCTAAATGGAATCAATTTATAAATCATTTTTTTTTTTAAATTTCTGAGAAAGTGTGATATTACTAGTGTTACAAATTTATACGTTTCAATCATTTTTTTTTATAAAATCTACATATCAATATTTGCATCATAATTCATCTACCACGTATACAACTGCTAAAGTTCCAACTTTGGCAATATCAAGGTACTTCTAATTTATAGAATTTTTATTAATTATTTACAAATGATAATCATTACCAATGGAAATCTACGAAGAGACAATGTAGACAGGTCAAAGGGAGACAACTATAATTAGCGGTTAATAGATTTAGAGTTATCTCCCTTAGGTATATATATATATATATATATATATATATATATATATATATATTTTTTTTTTTTTTTTAATTTAAAATTATTCAAACTAATGAGACTGAAAATGGCTTTATTAGTACAATAATTCTTAAATAGCCTAACAAAACTTGTCTTATAATGTTGCTGGATATTTATAATATATATTATGCAAACCCACAGAAAGTAGTATTGTTTGTGAGAGAGAAATAGATATTCCAGGTTTAGAAAAGAAAAAAAAAGATTTAAGATACTGGGATATAACCACCAATTCCATTTTTATCGTTAGATGGCATTAGGAGTGTTTAATTTTAGTTAATCTCATTCAAAACAATTGCTTTTAACTGTAATTCAAAAATGATCATCAGTAGGAATTTTAGGAAAATCTTAAATATTGAGACAGGAATATATCTGATTATTATGCTTTTATTTAAAAAAAAGATAAAAGGAGGTGCCTCAACCACAAACGTTATCTACAGTTTATGGCGAATATACTGTAAACGAATGATCATCCATGAGACTTCTCTTTGAATCATGCTTCATGGTTGGGGGTGATAGCAAATCAAGACATTACTCAATATTACTCAACAAGGAGTATAGCCAATATATACGAAATACCTGAATCATGTTTGTAAAATCATTTGGAACAGACTAGTTATGTTATTTGCTTTCATGTGCAACTTCCATCAAAGTAAAAAGAAATTGGACTATATTCCCATACACAATGAAAATATTCAATTTTTATTAAACAAATTGAGATAGATGCATCTGCTTTTCAACATCTAAGTGTAATGTAAGAGATTACTGGGCAAGCAAAATGTATAGCTGGTCGCTTGTATCCAATTATGCCTGTCTGCTAGGATGGTTAGTTAATCCCTGTTGCAGGTACCTGCTCAATCACATTTGTCTTTGTTCAACACCAATATAAGCCAACTTGTTCTTTATACTGCAACTATGCTGAGTAGGCCTTAGTTACAGTTTCTGAGAGAGAGTGTATAGTTTGGCATGATGAACAATTTGAACCAGGCCAGTACATTTGAGCCCTCAATCATGATGACTTGTGATTTTGTGCTAGCACAACTATTGACGACTTCCAAACAGTTTCATCTATCCAATTTCACTCACAAGGTTTGGGTTCAACAGCGGTATGGTTTTTAGGCACTTCCCAATTGTGCCACATGCTGGGATCATTTCCCCAGACCAATAACATCAAAAAGTCACCTCACTGACAAATCAACTATGGTAAAATTGAAACCGGGTCAGAATCTTCAGTCACATACCCAAAATGTAGTCAGCACTAAACATACCAAACAGAGAATTATATGAGATTCAAACAAATACAGATCCTAATTATACCAATTAAAAAGGTTGAAATCAATGAAAAGCATTCAGAATTAATTAAAAAGAGATATATTATCCTATCAGGATAATACTAGTGAACATGTTTTTTTAATGACCAGATAAAAATAGAAGTATTCTAGTGAATTTTCCCTCATCTACAGTAATCAGGAGATTCTCGTACCTTCAGATTACCATTTATTTTAATTTTACAATCATGAATCCCATAACACCTATGGTCATAGAGGCACCACATCTACTGCAGCCATAGAAGACAGCCTGACAGAGCCCAATGTTCTCCAGGATGGTTTGAATTCAAAGTTTTCCTTCTAGATTGGTTGCCAACCGAGACTATAGGGCCCAATCTGTCCTGTTATTTATCCATAGCTTGAGAGAGAAAAGGATTAATACCTTTCCCTAAAATTATTAACACATAAGTGAATGTAATGAACTTGACTGAAACTTGAACTCTTCGATTCCCTAATCTGAGCTTCTAGCCATTACTCTACCATGCATTCATCTAACCTTACAGATTTCTCTTAATAAAAGCATTTCAGTTCCCTGGAAGAATACAAATGGCATCTAGAGTTCTTTACTATGAAATATCAAAAAGATCTGTGAGGGTTAAATAAAGAGGTTTCTGAAAAGATGGAACAAAACTATAACACTGTTGTTCAATAAAGTCAAAAAAAAAAAAAAAAAAGAAAAGTATTTTTTACTTAAAATAAACATTTTAGCTAAGTGGATCATACAGTCCTAATTATTAATGACAATAATATTTGGTAAATTTTTTTTGTCAAAAAAAAAAAAAAGTTACAAGGCAATTTTTTCTATGTAATTGCTGCAAACCTATATATAAAAAAAGTTCTTTCCATATTATTTCCTACCTGTAATTGTCAACCTGCAGAAGGTATCAGTATCACCATAATGATTGTATGCCTCACAAACATACTCTCCAGCATCTTCAGGTAACACTTCACTGATAAGCAGTTTGTGTATGTAGCTAAGGCCATCATTTTCAGTATACATAACCTGCTCAAAGATTGGATCTTTAGATGGAATATCATTGTTGTTGTGAACCCAAAATACCTCAATAGGTGATGAACCTGGAATTAACATGGAGAGGAAGCATGCAAGTGGAGAAATATAAAAACAACAAGCACAAAATTGCAGCAATACAAATCCACATTGCCACATCTCTACATGTTAGTTTGAAATATTATGCAGAGATAAATGCATACACACACACATATACATACACACATATAATCTTATTATAAAACGCAGAATGTGTGTGTGTGTGTCTGGACGTTTATATATTGGATCTGATTTCCTACATTTTTCAACCGATTTCAACAAAACTTCACAGGACTACGTAAAATTACCTTGCGGTGGTTCTAACTGCGCCAAAAATTGAAAAAACACAATTGTTTTTGCATGAAATCAATTTGAAAACACGATTAAGAGGCATCACGAGAATGAAAGGGGAACAACTCATATAGAGTTATACTTATCATAAAACCCAGGCTGTTTGTGTGTGTGTTCGTTTATATATGGGATCGGATTTCCTATATTTTTCAACTTCACTTTTTTTTTTTTTTGGTAGGTAGTGTTTCTTATTGTCTTGCACACTTTTTTCTTTATTTTTACATTCAGAATGCTTTAAAAATTCCATTTACAAGACAATTGTATATAATAAAATTCTATTCAATCGGTATACTCATAACGATTGAAAACAATGTTTTTGTTTGAGTTTGACCAATTCGTAAAGAAAAAAAAAAAAAAAAACTAATTAAGACATACGTGTCCGTCAACCTTAAACAATAATCTTTGTCAATTTTATTTTTCAGTCTTTATGATGATTGATACTTGATCTATCTCTTACTGTTACATCCCCGGGCAACGCCGAGCTCTACTGCTAGTGTGTAGATATATATATATATATATATAGATGTATTGAAAGTTTTCACTATAATAAATTTATTGAATGCTTTCAAATATTTTTCTGCTAATAAATTACTCTAAGTCTGTAAAAATAGAAATCAATCAAAATGTACAAATTATGACAGCAAGGATTTTTTTTTTTTTTTTTTTTACTTTGCTGCTTTAAGCTACATTTTAAGTTAAGCCAGAAAGAATCAAACTTTAAAGTTCATTAAATTTGCAAACATTTTTTCTCATGCCTGCCTGGCTATTTAAATTCTTTTTCCAATCTACACATTGTTATTCCAAACCCCTATTTATTTTATTTTTCACTTTTTAAAAAAAAAAATGTCTGTTTATATTAACCTCTATAGTTTCCTTTTTTGTTCTCAAAACAAATTATTTTTCAGAATTTTCCAATTTACCCTTCTGTGTAAATAAGATAAATTAACCAGATCAAAATTTAATGATTGCTAGTAAAAAAAAAAAATACAATTTTTTTTTTTTTTAGATTTATTTATTTTTTATTACTAACTTTCACCCAATACAAGGCTCTAGAGCCACTCAAGGTAGAGGGTTAGTGAATTAGATGTGTGATATGAATGTAAGAAGAGGTGGTAGGAAATGAAGAATATAGGGATAAGGAGGATAGATAACAATAGATCCTTTACTCAAGATTATGATTGTAATGTTCTGAGAAGCATCCACATGTGAGAGTTTCACAAAGTAGCAGTTCTTGGGTAAAAGCTCTGAACAGAACTTCCTCTTTAGAATTTGAATACAGAGGTAACAAGAATAACAAGAAACTCTGTGGATTATGAGAAATTATATAGAATATAATAGAAGTTTTGCATCTTAAACTTATTTAGGAATTAATATTTGACATGTCATTATATATATTTTAGATGAGAAAAATTAAATTAAGTAGAGTTGTGGCAAATAGGAAGCAGCAGACAGTGAGTGGAAATGTGCAGAGATATAAGATAGCAAGACAAGGCAAAAAAACCATGCAGAAGACTTTCAATCAGTCATGCAAAAAAATAGATTTCATACATTCAAAATGCAATTTTTCAAAATTAAAAAAAAAATAGCATTAAATTATAAACACAACAAAACACAATACATAGAATTGAAACCTGAATTTAAGGTAGTTCCTTAAAGAAATGTGAATAAGTTAATGATATAATAGTACTCATAAATTTTTAGAGGAAAATTTGCTAAGTCATTGTCTTTTGCATGTTAAGCTTATACTTTTTTCTTTTTACTTCAAAAATCACTCAAATCGTATTCTAAACGTATTTAAGGGAAGTAACTCTTCATACAAATTAGTCCCCTTGAGACAAAAAATGTCGAATTTGTTTTTTGCCATTCACAAAAATTTAACAGTGAATAACTGGGGATTTTTTGTGCAATCATTTTATCTTTTTTATAATCTAATTTTTGATAAATATACTTTGATCTAGAAAAATAAAAACTAAAAACTAATTGATTACCATTTTCCCTACGTCTATCTTGAATATCCAATTTTATAAAGATTGTCAATAAAAATTTTTTATTATAAAAGAAATTATAAGTGTGGATGAGTTAAAAACAAAGCTAAAATGCATTAAATTCTCTCCTTACAAAACTGAAAAATGAAAAATTAACAATGATGAAATCCAATATTCATAATAAAATTTTCTACTTTTAAATTTAATTCATTATAACAAATTTTCAATTAGAAACAAGATTATTTCATAAATTAAGCTTACAAAGTTAATTTAATTCATACCACAACAAATAAAATATATGAAATATAGATCAAGTAATATTAAATTATGGTTGCTTAACAGTAGAGAAATGATTAAGGTAGTTTATTAAACATTGCTACTCTATGAGTAAGAACTTCACATTTGTGACCTTGTAACCTTTTTCTTTCCTTTTGCTTCAAAATGTATTCACACATAAGTAAGCTGTTCCCCACTGGGACACATTGGTTTCATTGGTCCACTATTGAACTCATGCACACATATGTATCACGCACACACACAAACATTCTTATAGCTAGCTTTTAATGTCTTTTCCTTTAATTTCAATTGTGTACACATGTAATTACTTTTGTTAAGAACATGCATTAATTATCATTTGTTTTGTGTTTATTATTTTTACCCAGGCTCACATGAGTTTGTCAAATATTATTTGTAAGACAAATGTTCCAGAAGCTTGAATATTACTGGAAAAAATTCACACCTAGTAACAAAAGAGATAACACCTTGCAAGAAAGTGATGACCATGATGTGACCTTTTCCTGGATACAAAAACACAAGACCATAACCAAACATGCCCCAGCAAGGAGACACCTTACCTACATGCAACAACATCTAGAAGCAAGAGGTAAAGGAAAGAAAGAGAAGGAAATGTTTGATTTTTTATAGATTTAAATTGTGACACGTAATAGCTGTTTTTGCCAAAGCCAAGTGTACCCATAATTCCTCACTCATCAAATCTCTACCAAGGAGTGCAAGAAATGAATGAAAATTGACTAAGCATTTGTTTTTTCTCATCCTTTTCTTTTTCAATTTACCTCTTCATGGTAAATAGACTTTATTTTGTTATTCTTCTTTTGTTTGATTTTAATATGTCCATTTATTAAGCAATTATTAAATTATTATTTACTGTACATAAAAATACATACCAAATGAAACAATGGCGACTTTTATACTACAGAAGTAATTTTAGATTCTTTTGAATTGTAATTAAAGTAATTTAAAAGTAACTTGAGGCTGAGTAAAAAAGAAATTTTAGACAACTTGGCTCATCCTTTATACTTAAGAGTTTTATTTATTCACTAAAAATTAAATCTAACCAGATTTCTTTCTGTTGACATAAAAATAATTTGATGAACATAAATTACCCTAAAGTTCTAAGACTACATTGTTTTGTTCAATAAGCAATACATGATAGTGGAAAATATATCTATTACCACAAACTAGATTCGCCAATGAAACAAGTGGCTCTTTATTGCTTCTGACACATTTCCTAAATACCATATTTACTGGCATACAAGAGGCACATTTAAATTAAACAAAGTAAAAATAAGACTATGCAAATATTACATTACAATATATGGGCATTATGACCAAGGTAAAGTATATCTACTTGAATCCGCTGCAGTGAGCAGTTGTCCCTCCCAAATACTTGAGTAAACAATTCTCTTTATAAGCCAGAAAATATGATTTTATTATCTTGGCAGTAAATTGAGGAAGAAGACATCACCTGAAGATGACTTTAAAAAACATACCAACTTGAAATGTGATCTCAAGGCACAAAGGATGAGTAAAAGAGCCCAATTTACCTGCAAAGATTCACTGAATTGACTTACAAATAATAATAATAATATATATATATATATATATATGAAAAGAAGTGGAGACATGTTGAAAATTACCATCAAAAATGAAAAAGATAGTGGAAATCATCTTAAGCAGCCAGCTTTTCAACCTTTATCAAAAACTAAGATTAGGCACTAAAACAAAATTACCAAAATAAAAACAAACAAACATTTGCTAAAAGTAATCCTTATCAGACATTTGAAAAGAAAAAGAAAGACAGATGTTGGACTTCACTTGAGTGATGCTCACCAGCTAGCCAGCTTTAGGTTTCCTCAACAAATTACCAACTCTGTCACTTGTTACTTTCCTGCAATGAATTTTTGCTGGTGTTTAACACTAGGAAGTCTTTTTTCCCCTTTTATCAGCAAGGATAGCATTTTTTTCTCCCATAAAAGTTCTATCATTTCTTTGTTTATATGCCAATGTGAATCTGGCTACATTGGACAAACTTCAAAGAAAGAAGAGCAGGATTAAACAGCATTTCCCATTTTGGATTAGGAATGACCAATTATATCATACTACAATATTCGTACATACCCAGTGGATTTCAGATCCAGCAAATGACCAAAATCTCATTGATATTCTAGTCAGTTCTAATACTTTTGCAAATGGGTTATTCTTTAATCTCTTTATTACTAAATGATAAAACAAAAATAATTTCACTGTTCCCTCTAATTACCTGGTATCACTTAAGCTGGTCTACTGTCTGCAGTTTTTTTTTTTGTGGGGAGAGGGGTGATGTGACAATGGTTACTTTTAAAATGTTTTACTACTTTTTTCTGGTAATTGCATTTTATTGTTTAAATCTTAAACATTGTTAAAACAATACATATTTTATTCTTCAAATTTGATGATTTTTTTTCCCTAATGTATGAGTACCCTTTCACAAATTTGCTTGTTGTGTGTGGATCAATTGGCCCAAATTCATGTTGTGTAGTTCCAAGCTTTTGACTTACAAGAGTCATCATCTTTTGAGTGAGAAAAGAAATGTGGTTTCAAGAAGTAGATTGTATCATTATTTTTTGATTGATTGATTTTTTATATCTTATCAAACCTTTATGGATTATTTAAAGCCAAAACATTTTAGATTGTAAAAATAATTCTTTTTTTGTGAATGAATATTGCAGTAACATTTTTTTGAGAATAAGGATTTTTCCAGATACAAGTCCTATTTAACCCATAGCTGGAGGGAAGAGATAGATTCATACATTTCCTGAATGTATTTGTATGTTAATGCATATAACAAGCCAGAGTGGAATTTAAACATGGCTCTCAGATTTCTCAGTTCAAGCTGCTATCCATTACACCACCCACACATCCACATTTTTTAAAGCATTATTTTTTTATTTTTTTTTTTTAAATGAAATCAAACGTGGTTAAATGCTACAACTCATGTGATAGCAAGGTGTAATAAATAAATAAATAAAAATCAATGATCTTTGATTAGGGTTGATTGAAAGCTGACTACTTAAGAGATTGGCACCTTTTGCTTTTTTCAACAATAACTTTAAGCAAGTCTCCAACTCTTCATGCTATGTTTAAGTATTGTGCCATTATGACATTGTTCCTGCTGAATTTTCACTTAAAGACAAAATGACCAAAACGGTGGACAGACACAAAGTAGCAGTGCCAAACTTTGAAATCAGCAAAAAAGTTTTGTTTAACAATAAGAAGAATCGAACCTTTGACCTCAACAACCATTTCAACACTGTCACCATCATGGCACTGGATATCCTGCAATTCTCTAATGAACATTGGTGGTTCCATCTTCGTTACACTTTGCAGAGCTGAAACAAACACAATGTTTGTTAATACGACCATGGCATCTAGCGTTAGGGAAAGAAATGAAAAGATGGATGCTGAATTATTCATGAAGCAAGGTGGAGAAACAAGGTTCTTGGCTGAAAATAATTACAAGCCCATCACCACTTTCTTATCATTCAAGTAATACGAACATACATACCACCGATTCATATTTGCATATTTTGATGAGAAAACAAAGATATTTGTAATCTTTTATAAAGCTGTGACTAACACGGTGATATATTCTACTTCATACATATAGTAGATTATACAAAGTAATCATCATCAGTCATTGCAGGATAAAAGCCACTCCCAAATCCTTCCACGATTACCATGACTGTGCTATACTTTATCATTAAATTTCAATCGTGAATATCTAACGTAGGCCACATGGCATCATATAAAGTGACCATTTATATTGACCAGAAATTTTCCATCATTTTTCTGTTCATAAAGCAATAGCATTATAATTAGTAAAATGTAATTAAACAAAACATCTCATTAAAGAGATTGATGAAGATGCTGCCACATCTCCATTAATGTCCATCAATCTTTAAACCCAAACATAAGGAACTATCCTTTATGTAACTGAGTAATCAAGAAAAAGAAAAAGAAACTGAACAATTAGGAAAATTACTAGCAAACACATCTATTTCATCTCTCCATCTATTTAGTCTTTTGTTTTTTTATTTTTACAATGTTTACTACGTCTTGTGCACCAACCAAGTAATCTTTTGCTTCACCTGTTATCTTTTCTTCTTGCGACATATCCTGCCTACCTTTTATTTTTGTCATTCTACTAACATCTATATCTTTTTGGTAAATAATTTACCTATTTCTTTGAGTTACACAAGTATTGTTCTTTTCATTGAACAATGTCCATTTTTTACTTTCTTTTCAAATCATTTTGTAGAATTCTATATTTTGAACCATTCTCATTGCTGGCAATATCTATTCATTATATAACTTCTTTTGAGCATATTGGCAAAATGATTTTTATATTTTCTGTTAAACGCTATCTACTCAATCATTATAGTGTTTTATTCTCTGCCCTAAGTCTATGCATTCTTGAATTTCTTTCAATTTTTCACCTATTTTTAGGATCTTTTTTGAAACATTACAATTAAATATTTGTTTTATTTCTGCTTATTTTTAAACTTATATTCACACTTTTTATAACTATGTCATTTACTATTTCTTATAAATCATCCAATGATTCTGATATCCATTAATCTCATCAGTAAATTGTAGACAGTTTAAATATTCTGTTTTATGCTTTTACTTCTAACAGTTCCTATTTTCATTTTTAAGTTGCCATGGTACTGTTTTTTTTTTTCCTGTGTTTCAAGAATGCTTATTGAGAGTGAAGCATCAACATGGAAATAAAAAAAATTCAAACATCCAACTGATTTTCATATATTCCACCTTATATAATTTGTTTGGATATGCATATCAATCATTTATCACTATCTGTAATGTAATGCACATAGGAGATGGCCAGACTAGAAAGGACATGGAAGAGTAAAATCAGCTTCCAGACCAAGTTTAAGTTCTACAAATTGCTGGTTGTCTCAGTCTTCCTCTACAGGTGTGAGACTTGAACACTCCTGGATGAGACAGGAAAAAGTCTACAGGTGTTCAAGAATAAATACCAAAGAAATATCCTCTGCATCTCATACTGGATGCATAAAACCAACAACTATGTATGGAGCAAGGTCGAAAGTCTCATGGATCAACAGGAATCTTTCCTTGTAACTATTAAGTGTCAGAGGATGGCATGGTTTGGTCACATCATATGGCATGACAGACTCTCCAAGACCATCATGCAAGACAGGGTTGATGTTTGTACACAGGCAGAGATGACAATGCAAGAGTTAGACAACATCAAAGAGTGGACAGACATGACAACTTTGGAACTCTTGAGAGCCACCCTCAACAGATCATCAAGAGGAGGTTGTCTGTTTCTTCTCCCCTCAGTTCTCTCTGACGATTGAAGCAGTCAAGGGACTGATGATGATGAGGTGGTGGAATTCTTAAACTTAGTCATCAGGTTCTATTTCAATAGTATAGAAAAGAACACTATAAGGGAGAGTTTAATTATGAATTAATTTATAGATAACATTGATAAAAGATGAGAAAGCTACACATAGATTAAGAAACTAAATGTCTTAACCTTATTAACATTTAAATCTGCAGCATTTGACCAATATGCTGAAATTTCTTGAACAAAGTGACTAATATGAACAGCCTTATTCTACGTCCATGTTAGGTTAATTCTATTTGGTGACTAGGTGCTAAATTAGTAATACCAATTTAACAGCTTAAGAAAACTAGGTTGAGTAACTTAATTTCAACCAAGGCTGAAGTAAGGATAAATAAACATTCACAATTATTGATTTAACCTTTTAGCATTCAACATGCTCAAACCCCCCCTTAAATATCAGTTCTCAAAGTCTCAGTTTTTGCATAACTACCTGCGTTATTTGCGATGATGCTATTATATCATGGGTTTGGTTACAGTGGCTTGAACATTGAGAGCCGATATTTACAGGGCGAGTTGAATGCTAAAGAGTTGTAATATTTCTAAGAGAGAAGAGGTTAAATTTTCAAATGTGTATTCAGATATATGTTCATTTATAACATTATCTGTAGTGATTCCACTGAATTGCAATTATGAATATCTAACATGGTCCACATGGCATTATATGAAATGACCTTTTATATTGACCAGAGGTTTTCCATTATTTTTCCACTAGTAAATCAATAACATTGTAATTAGTAAACTGCAAATCTTATTAAAGGCCTTGGATGCAGATGCTGCCACATCTCCATTAATGTCCATCAATCTTTAAGCCAAAATGTAAGGAACTTTCCCTTATGTAACTGAGTAATCAAAGCGGGGGAGGGGGAATCAAAGAAAGAAAAATGAACAATTAGGGCAAAGGTTATAAGAAGTTAGAGAACAGGAATTGATTAAATGAAAAGTCTTCTTCCCGGGAAGAAGGAAAGAAAGATGAGACACAGCAAACAAAAGGAGAAAGCAAATAGAGTTACATAAAAACGTCTTCATGAAGTAGCCATCAGTATTCTCAAGCCTAAGAGTTGGGACCATGTTGGAAGGGGAAAGAAAGACATTATCTGTGAGAAAGAATTCAGGTGAAAATCATTACAATCTAAGAATGCAAATTTTCTAAAAGCCTGCCTATTAGGAGAGACTTCATATTAATATTGACCCATGGTACCAGACATGTACATTTAAGCATTTGTTTGTTAAACATTGAAACATTTACAAAAAAAAAAAAAAAAAAACTTAGTCATTTTCTTTACTCTGATAGATTTTTATAAAAATAAGATTGGCTGCAGTAGCTTAAATTCATTTTGCACTTATTAGAAATAATAGAAATTACTTAGAAATAACTAAGTCTTCCTCACCAAGCATTTACATATCCTAGTTCTAATGAAATTTTAGAAGGAGCAATGTTTAAAAAGATATTTAGATACTTTACTAAATACAATGCAATGGCTTTGATAAAAGGTAAGATAAATAATTTTTAGGTATAACAGGAAATATGGATTCCAAATGTTTCTTAAATACCATAGGTCAAAATATTACACAAAAATTGCTGGCTCTCCTAAAGAGGTACATTTAAAGAAAAGAAAAAAATTAATTAAAACTGCATTTATTGAGACAAAAAAAATACATAAGAGGATACAAAAAAGTTTAAAATAAAAGATAAAACTGAGGAATATATGATAGAATGGTACAAGGCTAAATGAAAGAAATGCAGTAAGGGTTAGGACAGAGAAAATTAGATGAAACAGAAATAGGAATATATGATAGAATGGTACAAGGCTAAATGAAGTAACTGGTATGTAGTTAAAAAAAAAATATTAACACAATTAAGAAGACTGAATAAAAACAAACAATATAGTAAATCCCATGATTGGAGAGTTACTATGTGGAATTTTGAAGATAGAAAAGCATAACAATTTTAACATCTCTCCAGAATTAAAATAAAATATAAACAAAATAGAAAAATCAACTTTTTTTCTTTGGGCAAAAAATTAAACATATTTGTGTAGCTGAAAAAAAAAAATATATATATGCAAGATAAAACATTACAATCAAAAAAAAAAATTTTTTATGTTTTCATGCAATGCACTTTCAAAAAGAAAAGAAATTTTTTTTTTAAACAAAGTTTTAATCTCCAAACAACATACTGAAATCTATAAAATGTGCTAATGGACTAAAAATATCTTGAGTCATGCAATTTATGAGTGAAGCATAGAAATATCTTTAAAAACATATAAACAAAAAATATAAATAAAAAAGATAAAAAAACAATTTTGTTAAAAAGGCAAAATGACCAACAAAAACAACAAATGCTTCTTGGTAGATAAAGATAATCTCCTAACAATGGTCTCCAATAGATTTAAACAATCTCCAATAGATTCTGTTTTGTCAAGAGTTTCCCGCCATTTCCAGCAACACAAATTAGGCATTTATTATTAGATTTTATTATTCACAATTTTATTTGTACTGTTTTTGGTATACTGAAAGATGCCCATAGCTGGGGCAAGAAGTGATGGATTCATACCTTTCCCAAGGGTATTTGCACTTATGTGAATATAGCAAGCCTGACTGGAATTGGAACTCTGCTCTCTGGTTTCCAGTTCTGAGCCATTATCCATTACACAATCCACACATCCAAGCTTACAGTACCTGGTATTCCAAGGTGTTCACCCATTGACCAGGCTCGATGTTGCTTATCTTTGGTGTTTATACAGGAACTGGTATTTCAATGTGATGTGGCTGTAAGCTGATTGAAAAGCAAAATGCTTTCTAACCTTCTTCCATGCTAAACATGGTTATACTGTTCTGTTATATATCTTACCAGTAAACACCTCTCATCTTGCTTTCTGACCTCTTTTTTAATTTCTTTTTTATTTATTTCTGCTATATTTGCTATCTGTTGGGTACTAAACCAACCTTTTGCTCCATCTGTTATCCTTTCTTCTTGCTATGTGTCCTACAACCTCACCCCATAAATTCATTTTTGGTGTTAAATCACTTCTTTGATATTGTTTACCTGAATCCATTCTCTGATCAGAGTCATTCTCTTGCTGTCTCAGAGAATAGCATCACCATTTCCGTTCATCTTTGTCATTCTTTATTTTCTTTGAAAGCCATTTTGTTAGTTTCTGTTTCACATGCACATGCCCTGACATTATACACACTATACTTTAAGCATATTGGTGTAAGGTACTTCTTGTAATATCTTTTTTTTTTTTTTTATTATAAATACATTTCAATTACCCTGCCACCAATACATTTATAATACCCTTGCTTTTCTTCTCCCTTCTTCTCCTTTCTTTCCATCCTCTACCTCCCTTTCTATTACACCCAACATCATGCATTTGTTTATTTATTTTTAAAAAAATAATATAGTGTTCATTAATTTTTAAAAAAAAAATAAAGCGTTAAGAGATTATTTGATAAAAATCACCTGAGGATACCATAAGGTTGAAACCAACATAGCAGATTCACTGACCTCCTGATTAAATGCTCTACGTGTTATTTTTACTTTTATTTTATTTTTTTCATATGTGTATTAAGCACTTTTTAATACTACAGTTTCCTGGTCTGATTCAACTCTATATTTTTTATATATCTCCAAATGTAATGAGAATGAAAAGAATATAAATAACGAGAATGAAATAATATAAATTCAAACATTCCTAACATTAATTTAAAAAAGGGCTCAATACCAAAAGTAGAGCAATAGTTATTTATTATAAGTTGTTACATATGAACAAACAAGTAATCACAACAAAAACACATATTTGTTTCAATGCTTAAACCTAGGTATCTCATCAGGTGGTGAACAAAGATGGTTATAAAAGATTTTATTTAAAAATAATTTAAATTTTTAAATAATGTAAATAGAAGTGATGTTTCATAAGTAGCATTTTTAAATAAAATCTTTTATAACCATCTTTGTTCACCACCTGATGAGATGCCTAGGTTTAAGCATTGAAACAAATATGTCTTTGTCGTGATTACTTGTTTGTTCATATGTAACAACTTTTATATATATGCTAATATAACAGACAAAAACTGGTGATCTTTTCTATACATGCAGACACAAGTGAGAAAATATTCTGTGATTTACAACTTTGTTTTTAATAAATTTGTCTAAGTTATTAAATATAAGAATCATTGCAAACTTCAGTAGCTTTAGAGATTGAGTTCTTGTTGGCAATCTTTTATAATCAACTAGTATTTATGTGTGGCTTCTGTGAATATTGTGATTCTAACATGAAAAAAGAAATTCCAACTGCTGATCATATTCCAACCTCCTCCCACATATTTTAGTGGGAACATCCTATTACATTGTAAGAATTTAAATCATTTACAATTCTGAAACTGGCCTGAAACTAACTGTAAAACATCAAATTATAATTAACTTTATTTTAAAACTTGAGTCATAACTAATCAAAATATTATTATTATTATCATGCAACATGCTGACTTTTTTCATTGTTGTAAAAATAATTTAAAACATGTAGCTGAAAAAAAAAGAAAAAAAAAAAAAAAAAAAGATTTCAAGAATAACAAATAAATGAAATTAGAATCAGGCTTCATAAGGTTGGTTTGTTGTAAAAAGTTTTGATATAAAAGAAAATTCTTTCAACTCTCATTAAATAATTATAATTTATATAACCTTCCTTCATTCAAATAAACTAAATTCTAGACTCATTCTACCCCTACCTCATTGTCCTCCTAAAATGGTTGCCAACCAAAGCTAGAGAACACAGTCTACCATACTATTTAATCCATAGCTTTGGGGAGGGGGAAGATAAATAACTTTGGAAAGGTATAGATCTCAATAAAAACAAATTCCTCAGCTGGAATTTGAACCCACCAAACCCAGTTTCCATGATGATAACCACTATGCTATCCACATATCCAGTAATTATTATACTATGTAAATTATATAGTAATTATACTATGTAGATTTTTTAAAAACATACAAGGGAACATGATCACTTAACTATAAGGGTAAAAAAAGTCCAAGTATTCTTCAAATTGTTTAAAGAAAAAATATATTTTACATGATTCACAATGACTAAAGGATACTGAGATTAAGGTGTGTCTTTTTTACTCACAATATTTGTTATGAATGGCCTCATTTTTGTGCCATTTGTACAGTGTGTGGTTGAGATACTGTATTTCATGTCTTTACTCAAATTCTGTGAAATAGCCTCCAAGGAATCATAAAGTCAAAATCATTAACAATAGCAGTGAACATTGCTTACAGTCTTTAACGGATACAAAAGGCAGTTAATTCTAATAAAGATATATATCTAATATAAAGGTTTTCATTATGGAAAGTGTAATCTGTGAGCCAAATTCAAATTCAGGGATATTCAGTTGCATTCACTTTCACACAACCTTGGAAAAGCATGAATCAAACACTACTTTTCACCTCCTCACTACCTTCCTACTCTCCTGCCTTAGGTGGCAACCAATCAGAGAGAAAGAAAAATTGAATACCAAGCTGTGGAGAAAGCAACAGGAAATCACTATCTTTCCCAAGAACTCATGGCAATTCAAAGATAATAAAGAAATGAATTCTATAGAGAACCATGATTGCCTATGTCCTGAGGGTATATGGCATAAAAAAAATTCTGATTTGAATGGTTATGATGTACAGTGGTGTACAGTCATTAATCCCATCATGTAGTGTTTGTTTACATTCAGACAGAAAGCAGACAGGTTGAGGTCATCCATGAGCTTTACATATCCCAAAGAGTGATCATTCAGCTTCTTTTTCAACAACAGGTGTCAAGAACAGTCGTTGAGCAGTTATTTTCTGATTCTCCACACACTTTTATAACTGTGATGTACACCTGGACTATGCCTTGCAACCCAACTTCAAAAACCGTCTGAAAACCATCAGGAAGACAAGAGTATCCCATCAGATAAATACATAAGTAGCTCACCATTTTGGACTGCATGGTAAGTGGTCATTGCAGTATGACCTCCCTCATGGACACTCAATGTCGAATATATCTGCCATGAGCACAAGCCAATATGGAGGTGAACATTTGTTAGAATAGTCAGCAGTGTTTTTTATTGATGAGTACAGAATCACACTGTATTAAAATGGTAGTTTTCAATGGTTATAGAAAGGCAAGAGTTGGGCATTATACACTAGTTAATATGGATGCTAAACATTGAGCTGGAAATAGTAGCATAATGGTCTGGAGAGGAATAATCAGCAGCAGGAACACAAAGGTGGTCAGTTTATAGAACTGTCACCAGTAAGATTTGGCCTTTTTTTTTTTTTTTTTTTTTTTTATTATATACTATAGTGTCACTGAATGGTTTTGTTTTAGGGATATAGGTATTGTAGATTATGAAAATATGTAGGATTGATGATGGTTTACCCTGGACAATGCCAGTGGTTGAAGTGCCAATTTTTAATGTTATGAAATTTTTCCTTCCTTAAGGCAGTGCTACATTAACCAACAAAGCTTTTAAATCAATATTGTATCCTTTTTATGTGTAAAACAAACATCCATATTATGTATACAAGAATTCAGGAATAAGGTAAAAATAAGCATCAAAATTATACCCATAATAATCCCAATATCTTTAGCTCATTGTGAATATGACATTTGTTTAAAAGGTTCAAAACCAGACTGCTCAAAATTAAAAGAAAAAAATTACATAAATACAATGCTAGAATGGTTAACATTTTGACTTAGTATAGCATAAGGTACTACTCAAATCTTTGGAAAGTGAAGGAATAAAATGACTTAAAAAAAAAAAAAAAAAAAAAAAAGGATATTACATAGAATAGATAGAAAATTAGGACTATTTTGTGGTGGAGTGATTTCAAAGATTGTGAAATGTTCAGTAAAAAAGGAAACAATGGATAACTTGACAGATGATCAGAGTAACCAATATTCAAATTCTCTGAACTTTTCAGTAGTACCTCATCTTTTAATCAAAAAGAAGAAATCTTGTTAATTTAAAATTTGAGGGCATTTTATACCCAGAAAAGTTCCCTATATAATAAACATTTACAGCAATAAACACATAACTTGCACACATTATTCAGAAATTGAAATACTAACATCTTTCTGTACTGTCTAACATCAAGAGAAAAACAAATGTGGCTTACGTTTGACAGTCAAAGCAGAACTGGTTCGAGCCTCTTCCCCTCTTTTGGAAGAAGTAGCCACACATTCATAGCACGCTATATCAAGGGAAGTAATGTCTTTGATGACCAAAGTGGCAAACACACCATCAAAAATCATTTTAACTTTTTCATTTTCAATCAGTTTACGTCCATCCTTCAGCCAGTATACAGCAGTAGCATCTACAAGAGAAAAAAAAAACCCAGATCATTCGCTTTCCTTCAATGCTTACAAACTTGTATCAAATCTGTCATGTTCAAACATGTGTGCCAGTATGAAAATCTTAAACTTGTTGCATATACAGGTACTTTTATTGTGTGTGTGTGTGTGTGTGTTTGTAATACTAAATTAATACATCTATATCTGCCAAACAATGAAATTTAACATGCCTGATGGAGTTTACTGAAAAATTCTTGGCCTCACCCATTTCCTAAAATATGAAACTTTTGGGGAAGGGCTTTTTGGCTGGTCGAAAAATTTTCAGCACCACCTCCTATGATGATATTGTCTGTACAAGTATACAACTGATATTCCAAGACAGCAAGAAGTAGGAAGAACTATTGATGGACTCAGTAGAGGAATAAAATATATTTTCTTTAGTTTTTTCTTTTTTTTCACCTCAGACAAGGCAGGAATGTCACTAGTACACAGAAGTTGCAGAGAATGAAAGTGAGAAAAAAAAAAAACTGAGTGTAGGGAGGACTGGGGAAAGGACAAAAGATGAACGGAATTCAAGAAGATAAAAGATGGCAATTGATATTGCATTTAAATTTTTGAAGATTGTAGTTATAAGAGAAGCAAGTAAACAGAAGTGAGTTCCACAGGTGGGAAATGCAAGAAAAACTGTTGTAGCAGAAGTGATGGTTGCATTTAGCTATTTCAACAGTAAACGGGTGGGACCTAGATGCCAATCTAGTGGCACACTTAAATTCATGCAGTCAGGGCACCAGGGAAAAAACCTTGTCAAAACAGATGAAAATATATTGAGAAAAAGAAAATTGGGGGGCAGGAGTGGGTAGTAAACATGCCATTTCAATTTTTTTTTTTTTTTTTCTAAACCATCAATTATTTTATTATTCTTTGTTTATTTAACCCTTTCATCCTAGAGGATATATACATCCAAAGAAAATATCTGTTAACAAGGAAAATTGTTAATTTCTATAAATAATCCTATAATAATATAGTTTGGATATTTTTGGTCTATTTCTAAAAAAATTATTTTGTATTTGAAAAAAAAAAAAAAAAAGAAAAAAATTTTGAATCTAAGGTGTGTAGTGGATTTTGAAGTTCATGAATTCATAAATATGAAATAAATTTTATTTAAAAATAAAATAAAAAAATATTAAGAAATGTGTTGTAGCATACCTATGGACAATAATGAGTATGTCCCCATTCACATAAATACTGTAGTAAATACTGTATGTTGGTCTGCAGTTGGAGATTCATTGTGGAATTCAATCGAGTCTATTCTAGCAGTTGACTACTATTTCTACACGCCACTGGCAAATCTTATGTGTTGTTCTTGTCCTAAGTATTATCATTCATTACCAACCTTTGTATGATTATTCTATTCAGTAACCTTCCCTAGGTTACAACAAAATGGTTTGTGAAAAAGCTAGTCTTAAAGGATATAAATTGCATCATAAATAATATAAACTTACTAGAAAATTTACACTTCAGTTCCACTTGCTGTGTTCCCTCAAGCACCTCACGGTCGAGTAACTTCACATCAACTTCCAGTTTTTTAGGAGCTGGTGCAGGGGTTGGTTTGAAAGTTTCTGAGAAAATAAGATTAAGTACATTTTAATACTCAAGGCCATTAAATTTATTCTATGAAAATATATGATTAAATATTAAGACATTGATATTTACATGAAAGTTAGCATTATACTTTGATTATAGCAGAATGATGGTAAACTTCTACCTTTGTTTACTATTGAATTTGGTCCAGTTTTTTTTTTTTTATATAAAATTGTTTTAGTTTTTTAGTGATCTTTCTTAAAAGCTAGGTATTTAAGATTAACATTAAAAATCTGACAATATCTTCAAACTTGTAAAAAATTAAATACAAACATGACTAAAAAGTGTCAGACATTTTATTGAACTTTTTTTTTAAAAAAAGTGAAAAAAATGAGCTGAAAACTTTGTACTACAACATTATTCAAACCTTAAAATCATTAGATGAACAATAGAGGCTGATCATGTGATCAATCCATCATTTGAACTTTATCTGATGTTTGAAAGGTTTTAATGTCAAGTTGAAAATTTTTTTAAGAAGCCACTAAGTAATCTACAACAAGAGAAAATATATTGGGCTGAAAAAGTTTGATATAATTACTTAATAAAAAAATAAATTTCTAGTCTTCAAAAATTAAAATCAAATTTAAAAAAAATAGAATGAATAAAAACACTAAACTAAGAATAAGGGAAAATATTCAAATGTTTCTAACAAATTTAAACTGCAGATTAGGTTACAAAATTTTTCAACAAGCACAAAAATGTTTTTCACTATTTCAACCATCCATGCATTTATAAACATAGATATATAAACACTGCAATAACATTGTTCAATAATGAGAGTATATCACACACAATCAAATAAAACAAAACAGTCTGTATCATATTTACATATTTTGTGTGTGTCTTGTTCAAGGTTGCAAGTGGCCTAATGGTTAACAGTACAGAAAATAAAATCAATTAATTAAAAACATATTCTGGTTGAGGTAAAATATGTTCACTTCACACTAAAGCCCTTTATGGCGGGGGGGGGGAACATGACCCCATATTCTACCCACAACTATGGGTAAAATAGCTGGAGAAGATGGGTTCTCTAGCTTTAATTGGCAATCAGTTTAGGAGAAAGAAGACAACTCTGAATTCAAAACCAGTGGTATCTATTCAATTTCACTGCCTTTAGAAAGTGGGTCCAGTAATCCTACTCAGTTTGAAAGATGAAAGACCAACAGATCCAAGATTCAAAATTTTTTTAAATAAAATTAAAGTAAAATTTAAAGCATATATATATATATATATATATATATATATATATATATATATATTAGTGTGTGGGTCATCCACAGACTGTTTTGCTGTATCACAGCTCATCAGAGTGACTAGGTATCTGATTGCTTCAAGCTGGGATCAAAACCCAACCAATATAGCATCAGTTAAAGATTCTACCCACAAGCTAGAGAAAAAGGGAAATTTTAACGTTTTTAATATACAAAAGATGTCAGTGGCTAGGAGAGCTCTATTCTAGTTGAAGAGCATTGCATTAGCAGCAGCCACTATTTATAAAATCATCCCTGAGAACTCAATCGAATTATTTTGAGAGCATATATATATATATATATATATATATATACACACACGTTTCAGCTGTTGTACACTCTGACCTTCTCCAAATGATATATGTTGGAATTTAGTACATGGGGAAATTCCAACATATCCCCCTGAAGAAGGTTGGAGCGTATTATGGAAAAACATTGTGAATAGGGCAATAAAGATGAGGACAACAGTTTGAATTGTGTAAATAGTTACAGTACCTAATCTCATATATATATATATATATAGAGAGAGAGAGAGAGAGAGAGAGAGACTCAAACTAGACTTTCAGCCACCCTAAATATGTTCAACCATCTTTCAATAAGTTCAAAATCTCATCTTTATGTTTCAATAACAAATTTACACGTTGTATTATATATTGTCAGGAAAGAGTTTTTGAAGCAAAAAAATTTCCTTAAAAGTAAGTGTAATGATATTGAAAAGGATTAACAAATTTTCAATTTCTTTTAGTTCTGATGATAAATTAATTTCAATATAAGAAAGAGTGCTGAAAAGTTCTCAGCCTGACCCACTGTAACTAAATGAGAGTGTATTTAAAAGAAATGACCAAATTATACAAAATGTTACTGATCAAAACAAAAATTTCTAAATGCCAAAATTAATTTTATACAGTATTATTTTCCAGCAACTTAATTCAACCATGATGATTGTCATTATATATTTCACCATAATAAAGTTTAGCAAACTACAAATTCTATAGGACATTATATACAAATTACTTACTCAGCAGATTGTCTTCCTGAACAAGTTTTTGCTTACTTGTAAATCCTAATGTTAAATCAATGATTTTCATTTGCTACCAAGTGGAGCTGTTATACAAGTTCCCTTGTAAAAGATTTGTAAGTTAGATAGTGTTGTAAGAATTTTTTTTATTTGATATTAACTTTTGGATGGTATCTAGAGAATAACTGGAGAAGTAAGACAGAAAGGGAACGACATGTCAATGTGACAAACTTTACAGCCAGATCAGCAAGATAAAATGCATGAAAGGAAAGTGGAGGAGTGAGTTCAAAGAGCCTTCTACAAATCTTTAATAATATAAATAAACAAACAAATACAATAAAAACAAAAAATGTATTGGGGATAATATCAGATTCAGAACATCAAGCAACTCTAAGTGATTTCAAATCAATATGTTTGATGAAAAGTCTTGTACTTAATGAGAGTTTGGTGAAACAATAATAAAAAAAAAATGATGTTTTGTTTCTTTTTTTTTTTAATTTTGGAAAACAATCAAAATTATTGCACAAACAAGTTTTAAATTAAGCAATTTTGACAATTTTAAAAGAAAACTCCAGAAACACATGAATTAGCCAAGAGCTAAATAATATATATAATTATTTATTCGAAAATTATAACAAACTTGTTATAAAATCACTACAAAAATAGCCATTTTGTTTCAACACTTCTGGTGCCTTATCAAGTGATGGTGTTGAATCTGGTGTTCAACTCCATCACTTGATAATACACCAGAGGTGTTGAAACAAAATGGCTATTTTTGTAGTGATTTTATAACAAATTTATGTTTCCGTATACACCAATCCTATACTTTGGTATGTATATATATATATATATATATATATATATATACACACACACGAGATAAAGTGGAAAAGCTTTTTATTGACAATGCGTTTAACCTTCATTAGGTAGGGGTATACAGGTCAGAATGAAAGAAAAAAATGTCCATTTGCTAGACTGGCATGTTCTGGTCAGTATAAAAAAAAAAATTATTTTTATTTCCACTACTTTTGCTCAGATTCTATATCTTACTAACAAGTGAGCGCACACACACATATATATATATATATATATATATATATATATATATAAATAAACACAAACAAAATAAAATATCCCCACAAAAGCTAAAGTTGATGACCTACAAGAAGAAATCTCAAGAATACTGAAGAAAACAAACTTCATCAGAAATTACTAACAATTACATACACAAATAGACACACACACATATATATATATATATATATATATATATATATATATATATATATATATATGTGTGTGTGTGTGTGCAAAACTACAGAGATTTAAATTACATAATACAATAATGTTGGAATCATTTTTGAATGTTTACTACTATGTGACCTCCTTCCTCATTATGTGTCCAAGGAATTTCATCTGTCTTTTCCTGATTCTGAGTATTATATGAAGATTAAGACATCCTGTGGTTATTTTTAGTTATTGTCAAGTACTTTTTTTTAAGTTAAGTAATGATAGGTAGGAGGAACAGTGGAGTAACAGATAGCAACTCAGATTGGTGAATTGGAAAGCCAAGTTCGAATTACAGTCAAGTTAATTACATTCACTTACATGCTAATACCTTCTCAAAAGGTTATGAATCCCTATCCCCCCAGATATGGATAAAATAGCAGAATAGGCTGGCTCCTATAGCCTTGGTTAGCAACTAGTCTAGGAGAAGGAAAACTAAATTCAAACCATCCTGAAAAGGGTTGGGCTCTATCAGGTTATCTTGTCCAGGAAATACCACTGCTACTGTGGCTGCAGTACCTAATGGGTTACAGGACTTGTGATCATGAATGATAGGTAATATATCTCTTCATAATCATCTCTTTTACTAGAACATTCTACTATAATTTTCTTCAAAACTTAAAAAACATTAGACAGGCCATTTGAAAGTCTTAATATACTGCTGTTTACATATTTTCATTTATGAAATGGACAAAGTCTGACAATTATTTTAAGATATTTTTTATGCTTATATGTTTTTTATACATACAAATATTTAAGTAAATGCTCCGTTTATAATAAACAGTATTAATTTACCGGCCTGAATGTCCAAGAAATTTTCACAGAAAATATGCGTCCTCCAACAGGAATCAAACCTGTATCCTATACGGAACCGTCAAATAGCCTGATGTGCTTTTACCGATTGAGCCACAGAGGAGCATTTCGATTAGCAAGGTTGATTTTACCGTTTTTAAACTGTAATTTTCCATGATTTTCTCTCGTACATTCATATCTGCTCGATGTGTATCCAAATGTAAACAAATGACGTCACACATTATGAAATAGACAAAATCCAACAATTATTTTAAGATATTTTTTATGTTTATCTATAAAAATTATGTTTTTATCTATAAAAAGAACATATAAACATAAAAAATGTCTTAAAATATTTTCATTTCTTGCTCACAGTATTGATGAGAGAAAGAATTAAAATTGAAGGGACTAACTTAAACTAACTTGTATTATATTATTGTTTAAGTAAAAACTTATTGCCAAATATTTTTTATTCCAATACACAGTATGAAATGCTGCGTTAAAATATAAATATCTTTCATAAGTCCTAGGTTGAATTTTTGAATTATAGTTTATGCTAGGGATCAGCTCATACTGGCAACATTTTATAGACATGTATGCTAAGAAAACATACACATGCTTATTTGTGTCA